AATTCACATTGTTGGGCGTTCCATGGCCGAAAATGGGCGTCCCCCTTTACGATTTCTTACGCTTCTCTACATTCACCGTAAGAACCGCAGACCCTTTTCACTGATAACGAGGCATTCCGTTTTATTTCTCTAAGGCGACAACCTGCTGCACTTTTATTGTTAATTGAAAATAGGTGGTTGATGCTTATGGGCCAAGGCATTCCGTATCTAAAGGTGGACTCTGTGCTCGGTTATCACCCTTATAAAACTATGGTCTTAGGAATACGTCCAGTTGCTACTAAATCTAACGCTCTTGTTAGCAAAAAGTTTATATTGCAAGTTGTTTTACATTATCTGCTTGCTTATTTTGTCGTTTCTTACGTAGGGCACTCAATAAGTTTTGGGATATACAAAAAGTATTCTATATACTATTATGTTTATTTTACATTTTTTCAAAATATTCTTTATAATGCTCTATACAAAGTTCCATTCACCTAAACCTGATCGATTTGATCTGACAGGTCGGAAATCGGCTTCTTCGGCGCTTGAAACAAACTAGCCTTTTATTTGTTCTTTGACTCTTGTGAACAAAAAGAAATCAAAAGGAGCTAAGTCAGGGCTTAGGGTATTCTTAGGGTATTAGGGTAACGATTTCGTAGCAACTGGACGTATTCCTAAGACCATAGTTTTATAAGGGTGATAACCGAGCACAGAGTAGTGTGGGTGACTTAAAGTTTCAACATTTCAGATTCCTCAATAAATGCTTTTGTTCTAAGAGAGGTATGTGAAGAGGCGTTATCGTGATGCAGCGATTCCCCGAAGCCCGGTATTTGGTCTTCTCTCCCGCACAGTTTAAAAAGCTTTGGGTAATGTAACTGTGGTATACCATTCAGTTGACTGATCTGCAATTCTCCAGCATTGCCGTCGAAAAATGTTTGCTCCGCGAAAAAATATTAGCCACCATTTTTTTACCGACGTTGCGAGGTCTTTGCAGTTTTGTCGGTAGGTAACTGTCCTTCTGAGTAGACCCATACCGACGATTGCCTTCTATTTTTCGGATTATATTGATAGATCCATGTCTCGTCACCAGTAACGATTTCTGAAACACGCCTAGAAGCCCCGTTATCAAAATGTAGACCCATTTCATGACACTAGTCCACACGAGTCTGTTTTTCGCTTTCGGAGACCAAACGAGAGATCCATCGACAACAAAGCTTCCTCACTCCAAGATGTTGATGTAGGATGGTATGAATGCCCCCAACTAATGCCTACAATCTTGTCGATGTCCGTATATGTGATTCGTCTCGTACCTTCTCGATGGGTCTTCTCGCACCAACATTTCAGTAGTCCATACATTTTCTGCCGTTAGTGCTGTTTGCGGGGCCCCGGTTCTTTGGTCATATTTAAGGTTGATTTTACCACTTTTGAATTCTGCAAATCACCTAAAAATTGTTGCGCGTGCTGATGCTGAGTCCCATAATGCTGATTATAACTGTTGTAAACTTAATTGTTCGGTTAAACCAAATTTAAAGTCATAATAGATCATAGCGCGCGAATGTTCACGGTTTAGATCCATCATTTTAAATGAAAAGCGCGGGAAGCGTTTCAGGAAAATTAATAGAACTTTGTTTTTATTTTAATATTGAGCAATTGGCTTATGGAATTTCATTTTTAAATAAATTTGCTTTTTAGAAACATATAACACGGGTGTGTTCCATTTTTAAATTTCGAGCATCTCAAAACTTATTGAGTTACCTACGTATTATTACAACCATTAATTTCCATTGTAAATTATATTATATTAAAATACCATACCCATTAATAGATTTTTTTAATTCTCAAATAAAACAAGACAACTTAAAAATAACAATGATATTATTCATTCCGGTATGGTTATTACGTCGGTAGAGGAATATTACGGTACTAAGCCGGTTTTAGTAAAGTTGGGATAGAAACATAATTTATATAGTTTCACAACAAAATGACTAAAGAAAGAATTCGAGTCCGGCCCAAGCGATGACTAATTGTTAATACTTGTTGGTTGTATTTTATAACGCGTAGATATCGAAGCAATTTTGATTCCCGCTAAAGGAAACATTTAATTGAGCACATCCCACTTTAAAGTATGACCATATAATGAGCTGACCGATGGTTTGTAGCCGTTGTTATTTACATATTACGCGTAATCCTGTGAGTAGAATTATGCAAATTTATTAAAGCTTGATGTTATCAGGAATATGGACGCATCTAACACTAGAATTCCTTTACTTCTAAAATCTACCTATCGTCTATTGTAAAGAAACTATAAATAAAATAATACCAAATACGGTAAGTACTATCTAAAAATGCTTATCTTCTTATTTTTTAAGTATTTATTTATTGATACTGTTCTAAGCCATCGCCACCTGATGGTAAGTGGTGATGTAGCCGAAGATGGTAAAGCGCGCTGACTTAACAAAAGCCTATTTCCTCTTGCCTTGAAGGCATCCACATTGTATTCAGATGGAAAGACAGATGCTGGCAACTTTTCCACTCCTTTGCCTTATACATGTAGAACGATGTAGCCAACCGTTTAGTTCGAGAGAGTGGTAAGTTGACAATGAAAGGGTGAAGACTAAGAAAAAGGTAGGAATTAAGTTATGCCGTTCCTGCACACACTTCAAAATGCATCCCGTAGAAAACCGAAAAACTGGCTACTTTGCGCCTGTGTTCGAGGCTGGTGAGATTAGTTTTAACCAGATTCGGGTCACCAAAAGCCTCAGCGCGCCTTTCCATTGAACCCAATGTTGCATTATTTTTGAATAAAAAATTTATAGCGATAATTGATAAAGTACTTATGCATGGTTTTCTTATTGTTTTTAATTAATGTTTGAGGAACAAAAGAGTTTCATACACGGTAGAGTCACGCTACGAACTGGTCGCCTCGACCGGATAAGTGGATAGCTACAACGTGACAGTTTCACATATAGGGTGACGAGAAGTTTCAAATAATTTTATACATAATACAGCCACACTGCGGCTGTGTTACGGTTGTAGCACGTGTAGGTTGGCTCAACCGGGGTAAGACAACGCTCTCACAAAATACAGGAATGAAATAGCAGCTTAATGCTACTGTGTTTCGTATGGTGCATTGATTTATATATCACTAGATCAGTAATAACCGCGCCAAAGCGTTACCACTGCACATATGGCCACAGCCATATGCCTGGCTAACGTCAGTTCAATGTTCGCCAATGTCCGACAAAAAAATTGGTAAATGCGTAGTGAAAGAATGCTATTCAAGGTCACAAAAACGTAATAAATCAAGCGGAATCACTTTCAACACATAATTTTTAGTTCTTGTTTTCATATAAACGTAAAAAACCTCAAATAATTAAATAAAATTATCGAACATTGCCATTTAGGTTCAATATTGCCACTTTTCCGCATTTGTGATTATCCTACATTAATGGGAGACTATTAATATGACTATTAATATTAATTAATGGAGTAAGTTAATTTGTTATCTTTGATATTAAATATTTTGGAAATTATAATAAAAACTACGTTTTAACTTTCATACAAAATAATTAATTATTCTTATTTTAGTTTATTCATGAATTATCTATTAAATGAATGAATTATATATTTCATATTAATAATTTTATATTAATTATAATTTCGTATAAATTTTATATTAATTATATTTTATTACCTAGTTTATATTCTTTGATTCATTAGTACATACTGTATATATTAAAATATATTTCATCATTATGTGTACTTCTATTAATCTGATAGATGAATAGAAGTACACATAATGATGAAATTGATTGAATTGAAGCTTTTGATCCTTTTTTCTAAGGGGACGCAATAAAGATTTTAAAATATACTTTTTTAATATAAAAACAATTAACTGCAGCTTAAAAAAACCCATTTTTATTGCGTATTTTAGGTAAAATTTTTTATGATATTAGTTTCAAAGCTAGGTCGTCGCGTTTAGATAGTGGTTACACATTTTTCGACGCGCGGTAATGTGGTTTGCTGCTCTAGTGTTGTTTAACTCAATGGTACGGTGAGTGTAGAGAACCGGAGACCCTTTTTACTGGAAGCGAGGCACTCCATCTTAGTCGTCAGAGTTAGAGTCTTAATCGAGGATAAATTTAGATGTCTATGGGCCACATCAGGTGTACTGTGTGCTCGAATGTCACTCTTATCCTAAAAAAATGCACAATCATAAAACTGCAATTTACTGTTTTACTGCATCCACCGCTTAGTGTCAGTTTTTTAGCGTTGTCATAAAGAGTAATCGCTACTTTTTTAGGATTGATGCCAGAAGCCTTTCAGCTGTGACCCGTGCGAGGGTGAAGGTAAACTAATCCACTGCTTAAGCCGTATCGATTGCCTCGTTTACGTCTGATTAGCGTTTTCCTTACGTCATATTGTTTCTTTACATCTGGTGTGACCTTAGAGATTATTAAGCAGACGATTTGATCGTATTATTTATTATACTTGACGCGGCAGTTTATCAGACCTGTTGAGTGTTATAGTCAAGTTTTAGTCACCTTAAGTCAAGTTATTACGCGGTACCGCTATAACTTAATTAAACTTAACCACCACAACATAAATCGTTAAGTCTAGAGATACTACATTAGTGATTTATTATGCGAACACTACAAATTTAAATAATACTAGTTTTTTACGGATTATATCGCGTATATTAACTTTTTTATATACCCGACGTTTCGAGCACTTTACAGCATCCATGGTCACGGGGGACAGTCTGTGAATACGTACAGAATCGCCCCCGTCAATACATCAGATTTGACAGACCACAAATCTTATCTAAGGAACATATAATTGATTTGTTTCTTTCACGCTTGTTAGTTATGTTTGAAATAAAATGTCAAAACTTTTCTATAGAAATCAGGTATGTCAGGACTTCAATTTTCCATATGGTGACCCTAGTCAAGTGCCATGTACCATGTTTATCGTTTTACAGGTTGTAAATAAGTTTATTCTAATATTAATGGTGGTTTAAGGTGCCACCACTGCAGTGCGAGTCTGGTGGCAGTTCGGCGGACGGCTCTTCGAGCGAAGACGCTGCCGGTCCATACGCCAGCGAGCACAGCGAGCCGCACGCTCGCAATGATGACGGCTACGAGGTGAGTGCAATGACGTCCTCGAGCTAGAATCTAGACTATATGTATATACTACTACGACTAGATATATACGTTGGAGAGCCATGCTGCAGATATATTAGTAGTATAGTTGCAGCACGAATGGGTCGACTCGGTCGGGCAAGGACCACGCTCTCACAGGATACCACCGTAAAATAGCAGCTTAATGCTGCTGTGTTTCGTATGGTTAGTGTAGAGAACCGGAGACTCTATTTGCTGGAAACGAGGCACTTCATCTTAGCCCTCACGGGTGACAACGCGTCTGCATCTTGATTCGTAATCGAGAATAGATGTAGATGTCTATGGGCCGCAGCAACCACTTCCGTCAGGTGGACTGTGTGCTCGCTTGTCACCCTATCCTATAAAAAAAAACATGAAGTTTATATTAATTATTTTTAAGTGAAGGTTATATTAATTATTTTTCACGTGAAGTTTATATTATTTATATTTTAGTTGAAGTTTATATTGATTATTTTAAAGACACTTAAATGAGTACTTTGTATTCAAAGTTTGTTTACGTCGTACTTTCGTGCTAGGGCTGTACTAAAGTACCAACTCGATAAACCTATATGTGTCAGTGGCTCTTTAAAGGGTCTGCTCATATTTCCGTGCCAATTAAGCTTCGGTGTATAATATGCAGCATCGGCCGTGAGCAATAATTTAGCGGAGCTGGACTTACATATATATGAAGAACACCGGAACAGATTGTTAGGTGTACACACAGTCCACCTGATGGTAAGTGGCTGCTGTGGCCCATGTTATTACCTGCCATGCATGAGCGTTGTCACCCGTGAGGGCTAAGATGGAGTGCCTCGTTTCCAGTAAAAAGGGTCTCCTGTACACTCCCCATAGGAAATACAGCAGCGTTAAGCTGGTATTTGACGCTGGTATTCTGTGAGAGCGTGGTCCTTACCCGGTCGAGCCGACCCATTCGTGCTACAACTAAGTATAATACTAATATAACTGCTGCCTAATTAATTTTACAAATCTAAGTTGTAACAAAGATGTTTAGCAAAAACTAGTTTTAACTGGAGAAAACACGTTTTTACTAAAAACGGGTTTTAACTATAATATAGGAATACAATTTATAAGTAAATAGGTATGCATTCCTTGAATGACCATTTGTTTTAGTTTGCGATGCAAGATTTACAGTTTCAACTAATTTCTCAAACTCTGCAAACTCTTCAGCGTGTATCGCTTTAAGATGGCTCTTTCAAGTGTTAGTTGTGCGGCTTTTTTGCGAGTATATTTTGTCACATAATTTACTTATGGCTGCTAAATCATCAATCTCAACATAACAGTTCCAAACAGGACTTGTTTTTGGTTGCACTTAAGTTATGCACGCGACTCAAATTACTAATTAACTAAAAAAACAATAACAGAAAATCTTACGCACTTACAGTCACGTCACGCCGTATAATAAAGTTAAAAAGTATATAAACAAACCCATTGGGACTTGTGTCGTAAAGCACGTGCCTAGTTCGCTTTTCAGCTTTTCAGCCAACCACAAACGATGCGCACGTACCTCGCCCGCTGCATCACATGAGTTCCGTTATAAAACTTGTGGAAAAAGAAGCAGAAACGGATGTTAAAAACCATGCAGAACTTCTGTAGCATCACCACAATTCATCCCTTTTTTGTTGCAAGACATCTAGTAAAGACGCGTATAGATGTGGCTGAATTTTCTGCAATCGAGAACGCAGGTGAAATTATGAAACAGAGGGTCCCTAGGTGCTATTATTCCTTACTTTTTACTACCAAGATCAAAATGTGGCTATTACAAAATTCTTGCCAAATTTACATCATCAGAAATAGTTATTTTATTTTTCTTTGAATTTAAAATTTTACCTAGTTTTTTGTCTGTATTGGAACAATAGCTTCTTCCTAGCGCCATTTGTCTGTTGTATTACGCATTGTCTAAGATTTTCAGGTGATAAGGATTTCTTTTTATAGAATAAGGGCGACCAACGAGCACATAGTCCACCTTGCGGTATGTACATACTGTGGCCCATAGACATCTACATCTATCCTCAAATAAGAATTAAAATGCAGATGCATTGTCACGCCTGAGGGATAAGATGGAATGCCTCGTTTAAAAAAAGTGTCTCCGGTTCTCTATACCCACCATACTAAACACAGCAGCATTAAGCTTCTATTATAAGCTGGTATTCTGTAAGAGCGTGGTCCTACCCCGGTCAATCCGATCCATTCGTGCTACATTCATAATATAGCTACAGCATGGCTCTACCACGTATAAACTTAGCGTTTTTCTCATTACTGTATTTGACAAATGTTTGTTATTTCCATCCGCAGGCAGATGTCGAGATCGGCAAGCTGGACGCGTCCCAAGCCTACAAGTCACAGAAGCTCTCTGATTCCATATCCGTTTTAAGTAGCCTGTCTGGTGAGTCTCAAATTCCATATGTTGAGTTAAGGAAATACATGAGGCGTGGTAACCTTTTTAACTGTTTTGGTTAATACATATCTTATTAAAATATAATATACATTTTGCACTAGAAAACCTCAAATTGTATTTTAGAAGCGGTCCTATTTTACATATTTTATTGTTGTTATAGTGCTATTATAAAAATGCCAAAATCGCTCAAAATATACAAAATTTGTTACATATTATAATATTCCAATTATAATTTCAACTTGGGGTTGGAGACAATCAAAACTGCCAAGTGAACTACCAAAATTGACACTTTAATTACAGAACACTATTTACAACTTTAAACCACACTAATAACAAACACAATTGATCACTTTAGTTCGCAGTTGTATTGATTCAAAGTATTCGTTTGTGTCGCCGATTCAATCCTGTCTCGGGTCGCGGACTATACCGGCCTTATATAGGGCCTCAGATAGTTCCAGAACCTTCTACTGTAAAACATCTGGAATGGAGTACATATGTACCGGTCCCGATTGATCGATAGTTCTAGAAAGTTCTTCCATGGAAATTTCTAGAAGGATGTTGACTCTCCTAGTTCTGCTACTCGATACTAGGAGGTGCTAGTGTCGCCATGTACCAGTCATTAATTGTTGTGCGCAACCATATATAAGGAGAAAAAACCTGCCTTCAAATCTTGAGAAAAGTGACGTACGCTTCACATGCTTAGACTTGTTTATTTAAGAAAAACATATACACATACATAAATACTCGAAATGAGGGTAGGCAGAGACTACGGACTTGCATTTGGCACGATCCTAAGGCCTCTGCCTCGAATCTTGCGGGCAGCGGAGCGACGGCGACGGCGGCGCGGGAGCGGGGCGGGCAACGCAGACCCGTTCACGAAACTAGCGGGCAGATCGCGCGACACTATAGCGGCGTAGTGATGTGTTCATGGTGTGTTGTCTGAACAACGGCGACAACATCTTTTTGATTCAAATTTATTTCTAACGCTCGATTTACTGTGGGCAAAAGAAGAAGTGAATCCCTACTACTTATAGGGCAAGGAAAAAAAAGCCGAGTTTTATCGAAATTACGAAGAACAGAGACAATGTCCCGACAAATTCTACGACTACATCAGAATGAGCGTAGAAACTTTTGACTATATTATTGAAGCTATCAAGGGCGATTTAGATTCAGTTCGTTTTTAATTTCTTCCCATAACTGGTTAATTACTCTTCTATTTTTATGGTTCACATCTTTGCTGTTCCATATCGGTGTTCTCTCAAAAATTGCTGAAATAATTTGCTCTTGCACGTCCGAGGACATTTCGAAACGTCACAAAAATTAATTGCACAACACTTCAATGCAGACAGACGCGCGGGCGGTTACCGCTTGACTGGAGTACACCGCTCGTTACCCGCCTCCGCGCCGCTGCCAAGCCGCTGTTTTCGAGAGTCGGTCCATTTGATTTTACGCATAAGATCCTGCCGCTCCCGCGCCGCCGCCGCTGCCGTCCCGCTGCCCGCAAGATTCGAGGCAGAGGCCTAACACTCGACTCCTTTACATCCATATACCTACGCATACATGCTCGGCGATTAAGGTTACTCTTAATTTAGCTCATCTTCAATATAACGCCAATTAGGTCGATAGACTTCTGTCTAGGTAGGGCTTTCTTTTAAGGGATATACCAAACAGTTCTCGAAAAAGAAAGAAATAGATCATAATCAGAAATCAGAAGTTTTAATCAATGCTGGGATGCAGAAGGTGCGGAAGGAAGCATTGGTTGCAGGTTTAAATGAGCTGCAATAGCCATTTACGATTCAATTTAATTGGATTACGAGTACTAGCGCGTTTTGTTACTCGTAATATTTAGACGCAAAAAGTGTTGATTTAATTAGCGGCCATACCGCTTCCTCAATTTTGATCAACTTAGTATTTTATTTAGTATAAGTTAAGTACGAATGTGAACTGACGTTAGTCTCTGTCAAACCGTTTCACGTGTGGTGTTTCCGATCGCGTTGCAACAGAGATCCATCAGCGCCACGGGTCTCCATTAGGGTTTGGGTCCCGGGACTTCGAGACACGAAACTTTTCGTAATTTTAGTTGTCTCGAGTCCCGGGACTTTCGGGTCGAGACTCGGGACGAGACAAGATTGTCGAAAATGTTATGTTATCATAATTTTTATTTTCAAATAATTGAAAGAGCCTAGCGCCATCTGTTAGTTAAATTATAAAAGGAGTTTCAGTTGTTTGAAGCAACCGGAAAACGTACAAAAAGTTTGGAACTACTGTATAAAGCCTTAAACACAATCAAACCGACATCTGTTGAAAACGAGGGTGTGTGTTCTCCTTGTTCGGTGGCATTATTACAAAAATCAGAAACAAATTGTCGAACAAAGCTGTTGACGCTCTGATTTTTTTAAAAGCCTATTTTATTAAACAAGCAAAGAAGTCTAATCAATGTGTTAGTTGATTATTTGAAAGTCTGATTTATAAGTCCGTTTTATTATTTTTATTCAGATTATTTAGTTATGAAACAAATCTGAATTAACAATGTTGTTATAATGACCAATAATTAGATTCTAGAATTACTACATAATAGTAATGTTATTAAGAATTACTATGATTTTTAACTAGGTTCGTTTTAAAACTATAAGATTTAACTGCTTAAAAGTGAATCTGTCTGATTAAAAGAAACGTACAATGCAATTATTAAGACTGAAATAACGTTAAAGTTATTAAGATAAATTATATTTTTCTTAATAACATTAATAAATGTTGATTTTTAACAAAAATTGCCTTTTTCAATACGTTTCACCAGAAATTTACTGAATTAAAATTCTTCAAAAAAGACTCACTTCTCTTAAAAAAATTTTTACTTAAAAGTCGAAGTCCCGGAAATTTCCCGATACTTTGATAGTAGACTGTCTCGTGTCCCGGGACTTAAAAATTGTCGGGAATTCCCAAACCCTAGTCTCCATGTGGCCACGTGAGTAACTGCACCGTAAGCCTGAGTCTTGTATACCATAAAATAAACAGATAAATCATCCACCACAGCCTATAATAGTCCACTACTGGACATAGCCCCTCCCCATAAATTGCCTCTTCGGGAGATTTCGCTATAGTTGCTACATTTGGCAGGCGGTTTGGCAACAGCAGTTTTTATTATTTTACGTTGTTATTGGGAAGATGCTGCTGCCCATCTCCTGTTTCAGTTTCCCGCTGTCACGTCTTGCAGCACCCGCGGCACCATGTGAGGTACCGGATATTCGTACACCACCTCGACACGGGATCAAAAAGATAAACATATACAATCATAATTAAGAATTTGTCCCTTAGCGTGACAAAACAGCACTTAAAAATGTAATTAACGTAACTACAGTCAACCAAATCTAAGAAATACCTTTTGACAGCTGTCAAACTTTTTGCACCAAGCATGCCAACCAAAAAATGGGAACGTACAATATTCGTAAAAAATCTTAAAAAAATCGATATCGATTATTTAGAGTTGGTAATCATTTATTGTTTGGTTTGAATAATACCAGAATAAATAATAAACGAATAATTTAAAACACAAGATTTATCAATTTCTTCGTATTTGTTGTTACTGCTTATTTCTAAAGGCACAGTTATAAAAATTTAAGATTGAAACTAGATAAAAAATAATTTAAACAACTAGCTGAGCTATCGTTATTTGGATTAATTATCATTTGATTTTCAAAACGCAGTCAATATTAATGTCTCTTTCAAAGTCATCCATAATCTGTTTTTCTACCAATTTTGCCCAATCATCCTTTGTGACATTGGCACATGCTTCAACGAATATAGAAAAAATAGTTCAAAAGTTAAGTTACAAAATCACAACATTACGCACATTAAGCTCCCGAAATGATAAGATTGAAATTACGTAGTAGTTTTTTCAGCGCGGCCTTGTATATGAGTTTTTTTGCCTACACACTATTTACGTTGACAAAGTTAAAAAAAAACTTGCTTTATTCATGATTCATGTAATATAAAGAATCTTAAATATAATTTAATTAAACAAATAGTACATTTAAAAAATTAATGATTCGATTATTTGGATATTTTTGCCGATTATTCGCATAACAATGAATTTTAATAATCCAAACACTACGGTAAGGTTCATAGCGACATATCATTGAAACGACGTCAATTAAAATAATTGATACTGGTTATTTTTTTAATATTTTGCTTTGATTGAAAGATTCGAATTTAAATTAGTGATAATAAACTATACACGTTACAATAAAATATAGATAACGTTATAATTCTTCGAATTTACGTAAAAGGTTATTTTAAATTGTGTGAGTACGCTTGCGCAAAGTTATTGCGAAATGATTGATGTGAATATCATCATCATCATCATTACAGCCCTTCACAAGTCCACTGCTGAACATAGGCCTCCCCCAAGTAATGCCACAAAGCACGGTCCTGAGCCACCTGCATCCATCGACTTCCTGCATGTCTTACCAGGTCGTCACTCCATCTAGTGGGGGGTCGCCCTACACTACGCCTACCGGTACGAGGCTGCCACTCGAGAACCTTTCTTCCCCATCGGTTATCGGTTCTTCGAGCTATATGGCCGGCCCATTGCCACTTCAGCTTACTAATCCGTTGGGCTATGTCGGTCACTCTGGTTTCACTGCGGATATCCTCATTTCTGAGTCTATCACGCAGTGAAACTCCGAGCATGGCCCTCTCCATAGCTCGCTGAGCGACCTTGAGCGTCCTCATACAGCCAGCGGTGAAGGACCACGTCTCAGATCCGTAAGTCATCACTGGCAACACGCACTGGTTGTACACTTTAGTTTTCAGAGATTGAGGTATACCTGATGAGAAGATGTGTCGTAATTTCCCGAACGCTGCCCAGCTGAGTTGAATCCGTCGATTGACCTCTCGGTCGAAGTTGGACTTACCTAGTCGGACTATTTGTCCCAGGTAAACGTACTCGTCAATAACTTCGAGCATAGTGCTCCCAACAATTACCGGCATAGGTGTGACATGGACATTAAACATGATTTTTGTTTTGTCCATGTTCATCTTAAGACCTATCCGTTGGGAGACACCATTGAGGTCATTGAGCATAGTGCTAAGGTCCTCCAGCGATTTTGCCATAAGGACTATATCGTCGGCAAATCGAAGGTGAGTGATGTACTCGCCATTGATGTTAATACCGTATCCTTTCCAGTCCAGTAGCTTGAAAACGTCTTCCAATGCAGCGGTGAAGAGTTTCGGGGAAATAACATCACCCTGTCTTACACCTCTCTGCAGTTGGATAGGTTTCGTACTCTGGTTCTGTACTCGGATAGCCATCGTAGCCCTACTGTACAAACACTTCAGCACTTCAATATACCGACAGTCAACTAGGCACCGCTGAAGAGACTGTAGCACCGCCCAAATTTCGACGGAATCAAAGGCTTTCTCATAGTCCACATACGCCAGGCAAAGTGGCAGATTGGACTCTTCGGACTTCTGTACAATGTGCCGAAGGGTATGTATGTGGTGTATGGTACTGAAGCCTTTTCGGAAACCGGCTTGTTCGGGAGGCTGGAAGTCGTCGAGTCTGCTTGCGAGACGATTCGTAATGACTCTCGAAAACAGCACGTAGACGCGGCTCAGAAGGGAAATCGGTCTGTAGTTCTTCAAGAGAGCGTTGTCGCCTTTCTTAAAGAACAAGACCACCGCGCTTCTGCTCCACGCCTCCGGAGTAATGCCACCATGGAGGACGGAATTGAAGAGCTTCTGAAGGACTTCAAGTACCGGTGTTCCACCCGCTTTCAGAAGCTCCGCTGTAATTCCATCCTCGCCCGGGGCCTTGCCGTTTTTAAGGTGGTGGAGAGCCATTCTAATCTCGCTCAGACTGACGTCCGGGATATCATCGGAATAGTGTCGGATAAGACTTGCTCTTGGATCGTTACTCACACTTGCGTGTAGCTCCAACGATGATGTGTACAGCTGCCCATAGAACCTCTCAATCTCACTCAGAATCTCAGGTGTCCCGGAAACGATGTTGCCACACTCAGTCTTCAGCCTTGACAGATGGCTTCTTCTGGTAGACAGATCTCTGGCAAAGACTTTGGAGCCCTGGTTCCGCTCGATCGCTTCTTCAATTACGAGCAGTATTAAAGTTGCGTAAGTCTCAAGTCTTGCCAAAGTCAAAGATGTGAATTGATTTGGTTGACTATAGTGGTGTAATTGCAAAAAATGCAATTGTGTAAAAGTAGTGTGTGGGGTGAGTGAGTGTGAGTTCCGTAGTTCGCCATGTCCGTCCGTCCAATCGTCCGCTATTTTACTCAGAGACCCTAGGTGCTACAAATCTGTAATAGGCTCAGAAGGGCTAGAACCCAGAGCTGTAAAATCTGTTAATGGGATTTGACATAAGTATAGGTATTAATCACGCCTACAAAACTGTGAAATAAAATCTTAAAAAACATTTTCATTTCGGATACCTCCCATACAGGTAAATGGGGGATGATATTTTTTTTACCCATCTATTCCATCGTGTAGCGTATCGTTTCATAGTTCTTTCAAAAACATTGGGGTCAAGAACATCTTTTCGATTCAGAGGTTCGTTTGCGAAATATCAAACTTTGAAGTCGTATTTTTCATTAGAGTCATGTGTCCCCCCTTCTATTAACTAAACCGCAGTTTTTGGAAATGTGAAAAGTATACTTATTAGTAGCATATATAATGAAGTTATAAGGAAAACTATCACAGCTTAATAGAATTAAAAAGTTAACGAGTAATGGTTGACCAACTTATAAAATGCACTTGGATTAGTAAAAATTTCGTTATAACTCCATAGAAAATGACATAAAACTAGCTGATGAATGGTTTTTAAAATCCACCTTGTGGACCGATGAGTCAAAGTTTAAGATATAGAATTTAATATTAGAATAAGGGTGGCAAATGTGTCGAATTTTCCCTATAGTGGGAGAGACACATTTTAGGGGTTATTTTATAGACTACTGGTGATAATGATGAAAAAGATTGCAATATTCTATCTCTCTATCTATGCAACTATTTTTTAAACTTTCATGTTTCAGTTCTCGACGTTTTATTGTTCTAGATAACCAGTTCCCAATGGAAGCTCTCAGCCTGGAATGCACGAATCAGGACAAGAGCGGTGAGCTGGCGCATCCTGAGCTATGCGTCATAGTCGTCGATATTCTTACGCAGTTAATACAGAAGTAAGTGACTCTTAATAACTACAGTTTACATTAATATGTATGTCGTGCGGACTGCTCTACATGGCAAAGTATAGTGTGTCTGTGTTAGCGAGTGTTTTAATATCTGTTGTGTCTTTTATATACCTCACGCAGTTGTTAATTGTTAATAGTTTTTGGAGGTGTCACCGTGATTTTTTATGTATTTGTCTGAAAAAACATGATTAATTATAATATAAGTATAAGATAATAAGTGTAAGATAATAAGTAAGTGTAAGCAGGGAATAACAATTTTTTAAGGTAATCTTATCACACGCAGATGAGATGTGCAGTTTGCTAATCTAGAGTGTTATCGTTTGAAAATGATGGTACATTAAAAGAAAGTTGTTCAAAGAAGAACCAGGATTTAAGGACTATCAAGAAATGAGCTTACTCTTTTTTTTAAAGTCCGGCAACGCATATGAAATTCCCCTAGTGTTGTAGTTATTTACGTGCGGCGGTAGTCACTTATCATCAGGTGAGCCGCGTGCTCATTTGCCCTTTTTATATATTCTATATTTAAAAAAATAGTATGCGAGTGGTGAGTTGTTCGGCAGGGTGATGGACGCGGAGGAGCAGGGTGCGAGCGGTGCGGATGTTGCGGAGAGGGTGGAGGGTGGTCCGGAAAAGCTGGAGCGCGTGTGCTGCGGACTCGCACGAGCGCTGAGCGTGCGGCTGGCGGGCAGCGCCGCGCCCCCCGCGCTGCTGCGCGCGCTGCTGGCGCCCGCTGCGCGCCGGCTGCTGCGCGCCGCTCACGCGCGCCCCACGCGCACGGGTATGCACGCCACGCACGCACGCACATGCACGTGCGCACACACATGCACGCACAATCTTTACATAGATCAAATTCAAGTTTTAATTTTTATTATTTGATTTCTCGTTCTGGACTCTATATGTGTCGCAGCTAAATAACTAGCTTAATTAGCCTTTCACTTGACAGCCTAGTCTTACTAAACGTGACAATAAACTACTAGCCTACGCCTGGGGCGGCCCTTGGCTCTAAACTAAACATCAAATTGTGTACATTTATATAATATAGCATATAGGGCATAATTAAACACAGACTAGCGACTGTCTCATTGAATGAGATTAATAGAATGATGCTATGTAATGCCATCATTATATTAATTTCATTCAACGTACATTACATGGCATAGCAAAAGTCCACTTCAGCTACACCTTTACCTAGTGTCGCTTATATTAAAAATAGACACGATTTTGTATTGGACGCATTGGATGAATATCATTCGAACCACTAATTAACCTTTGAACCCCCTAGCGGTCTCATGAGACCGCAGCCACATTCCGTCAAATCCCTAGCGGTCTCATGAGGTCGGACCCACCCACAGCACTTTAACCCATAAAAACTTATGTATAGAGAATACTTTTCTATGAAGAAGTTTGGCATTATATAATCCATATGAAATACTCTATCCTCTATTGCAATGAAAAAAAAAGACTGTTATCATATGAATATTTATTTATAATCTACGTATATTCCGTACGCCATTTTCGCGTAAATGTTATTGTGTTGATTTTTGGATTTTCTAGTGTTTTATTAGCGTTTTAATATAGTGTTTTATTATAAAATTTTAACGAAAGTTTTCGTGTGAATATAATTTATCTTTTTACGTAAATAATTTCGAGTAATATATATTGAAATAATTGTGATTTTCACGCTGCCGGCATTCGCTTGGTATGTTTTTTTTTGTTAACAAAATACAATAAAATCTTTTTGTAATGAAGTATAACCTGACTTTTGTTTTGACCACAAGGTATAGAATTTTGTATAGATTTTATAATGCTAAACGTCTTCATAGAAAAGTAGTCTCTAAATATAAGTTTTAATGGTTTTAACTGTTGTGGGTGGGTGCGGTCGCATGCCACTGCTCGGGATTTGTCGGGCGCATGCGACTACGTGTGATTTTTATGGCGCTTTAGGGGTTAAACTTCGCCATTTAGTAAAAAGGCTAAGCTGTTAACGGAAAAGCTTGTTTAGCTTGTAGCCTACGACAAATACATCTAATATTATTCTCAAAACCGAATTCAAGTTAATTTAAATTAAGTGCTAAAATTTGTGTGCGAGCATAAGTGCCTTCTCCATTCACTCACTCTCATAGACCGGTTGAAGTCAATTTGTGAGCAATTGAAAAGCCGCAATGAGATAAGGCGCAGACCAAACGGCCTAACTAATGTGATTAATTAAATTATGACGACCAAAAAATTCGTAATAAGTTGTATTTTTCACAAATTAAAGGATCCAGTAATCGAGGAAACGAAAACACCTAAAACTCTGTATGTATGTAGATAACTGAATAAGCAAAAGAAATGAATAAGGTATAGGGCAAGTGCAATTTTGTTTCATGAACTAGCGGAAGAATTAAAACAAGAATATTTCTCAGCAATATAGATGTCAGAAGATTCATTTAACTACATATTGTCTTTTTGAGTTGAAGACAAGGTAGTATATAGTGATACTATTAGTGCTACGTGCATTAAAATCGAAATTAAAATATATATTGTTGTTATTATAAATTATAGCTACTGGAATTAGTTTTTTTATTCTTTAATATTATTGATTCAACTATACCATAGTATCTTCTTCGATTAAAAAAAATCGAATATGCTTATTACGAAACTAACGCTCTGCCAAATTTACATTTTGTTCATTTTATTAAATAGTGTATGTCCAAATGTGGCAAAAGATTAGCCACGTCCACCTCTACCACACCAAAAAATAAACAAAATTCTATTCTACTTGAATGCTAAATTTTAACATATATTTGCATGCAGTCACTTAAAATTAGTTAAAAATTTGTCAATTAATTAACTACTACACTTGTTAAAATTTTGTACATACAAGTAATCGTGTTACAAAAATGCATACAGCGATTGTTAGTGATATCCGTAACCGGCTTAAAGAACCAACATAACACAATTTAATAATTATGTATTAACAAAAACGTTTGTCTTCATAGAACTTCAAAACAGTGTCCTCGAACTGATCTACGTGGTGGCGTCACAGAACATAGAACCACGCGAGCTAGCTGCGCTCCTGCAGCTGTTCACGGCGGACTCTCCGCCTGTGGGCCCCTTGTTGAATATGTTACAAAAACTCGTGGATAACGCGCAGTCTTGCACCCCGGATTTTGAATTAAGTTTCCCAATACAATTAGAAGAAAATGCCTTTGAGGGTTAGTATATGACGATTGTTATTTAAAATAAAATATTTTTTAGATTTTGCACATCAATTTAAAATTATTTTAAATATACGACACCCAATTTCTGTTTGCCGTTATTTTGCGATGGTTACTTCTAATTCCTAATTGAGTACAAATTACAATAATGTAAACAAAGTCGAGTTTAGTTTAGCAAGAAAAATAATTTTGAAAATTTACGTGGTAGAAGTGCTATATAAGGTCAGCTATTTAATACATCTACGTTTGCGCCCTCCTTTCTGCCAAGGAGGGTCGCGTTCGTATACGGCTTAGAGATCTCTAGTCAGATCGTTAAGCCAATTCCTAAAAGGCGGTGTTTAGTGGGTAAAAGTCTCCACATAACCACGCAGCCGGCTGCGTGGTATGCTATGAGCATTCACCGCCTCCCTCCCCCCGCTTTCCGGAGGGTTGCCCATATTTGCTTCGGGCGCAAAAAAAATACATCGCATACGCATTATAAGACGGAAAAACAGAGAGATGAGTATTGCGTGCATCCTTATTAGTAATAATAACCTATATATAATAATAATGTCCACCAGACCGAATTTCCGTCACGGCGGTCAGCCTCAGCGGAGACTAGCCATCGGCACAGGACAGGATTATAGTGCCCAAGAGTGTGCGCGCAAGCACAGGTGCACTCTTTATTCCCTCACTCTTACTGTCCGATGGGTGTGTAAACCGACACGACCGGAGAGAAATCAGGCGCAGGAGCAACTGCTTTACATGCTTTCCGAAGCACGGGGGTAAGACGTTCCTGATTACGGGCAGCTATTGAGAATTTCCCGACGGAAAAATTCAATTACTATTATTTTTGACCCGACCAGGGATTCAAACCTGGGACTTCATGATCAGCAGTCGTGTTCCCGCAACTACTAGACCAACGAGGCAGTAAATTTTCAGTAACATGACTATATATTTGTATTATTTTCTAGCCTTTTTTATTTCCACATTTTGTATGTCGCTGTTACTACCTTGGAATGATATTGTTGTACATAATAATTGTACACATTGATTGGTTGGCCTGCAGAGTCGAAAAACTTAGTGGAAGAGACTGCAGTTCGCAGAAAGTCGACCGACGTGAACACAAGTCAATTGCAACAAGCACATCAGCGAAACGGTGAGATTTTGCATTTTTAATTCTTGATAACATTGACTTAGATGAGTTTATTATCTCTCAAGATAATTTTATCCGTGCTTCGTACCTTTGAGCGAAGTGTAGGGCGTTCCCCCACTCGATGGAACAACGACTTGGTAAGAGATGCAAGAAGTCGATGGCTGCAGGTGGCTCATTACTGTGTTTGGCCTAAGTTCCGTTGTGGACTTTTAAAAGGCTGTAATTAGTAAATGAATAAATTTAGAAAAAAGAAATGGTGATACAAATATGAAGAAGAAATAGAATCTACAATTATTAAACGTGTTTTGTTAATATGATTAGTGTTATAAACAATTTTTACTGATATTACGTTTCCTGACTAAATTGAGAAACGATGTACGCAAGCTGGCTGATAGCGTCTGGATCAGATTAAGTGGTGCGCCCACGGAGAGAGAGTATAATCCAACAATAGATTACTGCTGGCTGAAACTGATGTTACAGATTTTTGAAGTTATAGCGTATATGCGTCCCACTGTTGAAGGCTTACTCCCATTACTAAAAGTAATGTTACTCCAGTGTTATCCTAAGATATTTGAGTAATACTGTGTTATTTTGTAAATAATTTAAAAGTTGTATGTGTGTGTAGAGGGCGCGGGCGCTTGTGGGCGGTGGCGCTGCGCGGCGCGCTGCAGGCTGCAGGGTGCGGGCTGGGCGCCCTGGCTGCAGGGCTTCGCCGTAGTGCTGTGGCTGCAGCTGCTCTCCGGTAAACAACTAATAACGGCTAACAGCTTGTGGCTCTCAGGCCGCGAGACCTGAGTTAGATGAAGCTGTAAAAGCCGCATAGGCTAACAGCACTTACATCTCAGAAAATAGCTTCTTCTTCTTCTTAAGGTGCCGTCTCTTTACGAAGGTCGGTAATTATCAGGGCGATTTCAACTTTTGAGACCGCTGCTCTAAATAGTGATCTTGTTCTCGAACCACTGGCGCAAGTTCTTCAGCCGCGATATCCTTCTGCGGCCAGGCCTCCTTCTGCCTGCCACTTTCCCCTGAATGGTAAGTTGAAGGAGTTCATATTTTTCGGTGTTACGCCTTACGTGCACAAAATATTCCAATTCCCTTTTCTTTATGGTTGTAAGTATCTCTGTGACCTTCCCCATTCTTTGTAGCGCGGTGGTGTTTCGTACGCGGTCTCTCCAAGAAATTCTTAGCATACGTCTGTACGCCCACATCTCGAACTCTTCCAGTTTTTTAGACATGGCTTCTGTCAGTGTCCATAGAAAATAGCTAATGATGGCTAATTATCTTACGTTCGCCAGATATCGCTGTTGCCACTAACGTCAACTTATTCGATAAGCAGATGGTCACACAGTGTGATTCATCGTTTAAAAGTTGTGATTTAAATAAAAGTTTTCGATTTCTAGCGTATTTTGCTATTGTATAGTGTTCTGTTTATAAATAGAACCTCAGTGATGTATTCCTTAATTTTTTACACATTTTTCACTTTTTTAAAATCTACTTTTAGAAATATCTGTAATTCCGTAATTTGGTTAATGAATTTATAATTTGGTTTCGAATCTAATATAAAATATATTTAACATTTCGGAAAGAAACATTATTCTTTACATGCTCTTACAACTTTATTAGCTATGAAACCCGTTAAATGTTTCACCTCATTCCTAAGTATTGCCGCCCTAGTGGCAAAAAAGTCGTAGATGACCTCTATTTAACTTCAGCTTCACGTCAATAGTGTTCGCAGTAAACGATTGTAGCGTGATGTTCAGTTTTAATTCTTGCTAATAATGAACCATAGCAACTGTTTGTCATACAATTTATGTTAAAATTAACGAATATCATAGGCCTGATACAAATTTTGCTAGACGTTTAGCATTGCGATCGGAGAGTCGCTTGTTAAGTAGGCGATTTCGGCGAATCATTTTTATAATCGGAAAAGGTAATAACCAGTATCCATATAGAATATATTTGTTATGACAGACGATAAAACACAAGGGACAGAGGAGGCAGAAGGCGACGGAGAGCAGGCGCGACGTCGCGCTGCCGAGAGCGACGAGCAGCTCGACGAGCAGCGCGACGAGCGGTTCGGTGAGCGCGCCGACTCACACAAGGTTTCGCACGTGCTGTCGCTCGGACACGATTCGCTCATGTTTGAGCTCTGGCTGCACCCAGCTACCGGTAAGTTAACGTTTCTGCTGGAGCAGAAATATTTTCTTGGTACCTAGCCCATCCAAGGCACCACACTAACGGCATTACGTGAGCGCAACTTCCAATGGTTCCTCGACCCACCAAACAATTACAAAAATATTCGACTATACCACCTCTGCCAGACATTATTTTCTATTAAAATGTAGACATAATATTGTTTCCTTGTGTAAATGTGCCCGGACTTAATTTTTCCTCTTATTAATTCTAGTTCTATTACCACTTCCTCTGAAATTATACTGAGAAAATGTTTGTTTATCCCTACATCTATTCTATATGATCCATGAAATCGAATATGTTCCTCGTAATACGATCTAGTTTGCCTTATCTGATAAGTACCTTGAGTAAATAGTATTAATTCACTATTACTAAAACAACATAAATAAAGTACCTCCGTCAGCTGTTATACTCTGAAAAACAGTATATTTTTATACGCGGTAGAGCCATGCTGCAGTTATATTAGTAGTGTAGTTGTAGCACGAATGGGTCAGCACGACCGGGGAAGGACGACGCTCTCACAGAATACCATCGTGAAATAGTAGCTTAATGCTGCTGTGTTTCGTATGGTGAGTGTACAGAACTGAAGACCTTTTTTGCTGGAAGCGAGGTATTCCATCTTGGCCCGCACGGTGACAACGCATCATCATCATTTTGATTCGTAATCGAGGATAGATGTAGATATCTATAGGCCGCAGCAACCACTTACCATCAGGTGGACTGTGTGCTCGTTGGTCACCTTATGCTATAAAAAAATCATATTTAGTCCCTCAACCAATAGGGCTAAATTGTTTTCAAAATTAATTATCTCGCTAAATATTGCGACTATTTCGTTAGAATCAACTCCAACACGAAGACGAACACCAAATCAAGTAAACTCTCTAAACCTCTATCTGAAAGTTCTGCATCATATTTATCAATGATTTATTTAAATATTTTTGCCTCAAGAGCTTAAAATCTCTTTTGAAATGTGCATTTACTGCCTCAACTACCCAGCGGCACATTGTTGCACAGCGGCTCCGGTTGACCTGCTGTGTTGTTAACTGGTATTCGCCTTGTGATAGCCAATCAGGCGTACCGATAATAATAACCTTCTCGCATTCTTATAGAATCTCGGAAACCCCTATCCAATATAAACACATCATTATCTTGAAAATGTAGTCTAAAAGGAGAGTTTTCATAATCAAAAAGGGAAATCATTATGTCAGCATCGGATATGGTAGCTATGTATGGACCGTAACAATCTAAGATATAACCATCACATGCCACAAATAAAAATGGCTTTAATAGATTTTTGTATTTGTGTAATCAATACATATCTTCTTGGAAAGATTAATTGGAACTTTTATTTATGTTTATGTAATAATTATAGCGTTTGTACAGTTTTCATTGTATATACCATTTGGTATTGTAAGGTTATGATCCATTAGACTTTTTCTCGATATGTGAGTAGGTATATAGGTTGAACCAGGATTTCCATGAATTTGTACATTAGTCGCGCTAATGTGCTACGCGGTACAACTAATAATGCAGGCAACAAAAACCTGTATATAATGATAAATGTAAATACTTATAGCGTTACTTAGCCATATCCACTCGCTAAGTAACGAAATAACTCTTGTGTTGAGCTCATGAACGAGATAACATCGAAACGTATTTAAGCAGACGTAGTGGTTTATGCAAAGTACACATCGACTTTTTACCGACGGCGGCATTGTCAAGAGGGCGGATTTACAACGATATGGTAAGCAAAAGTTATCAGATAAGGAAAATATCGAGGTCCAGGGGCGGTAAATAGGGTCATGAAAAGAAGTAACACACAAAATGGCACAGTATACTATAAAAAAATATACCACGAGACGCAAACGCAGCAACGAAGGATTGCACCGATGCCAGTCTGATGTCAAAGAACCCGTTTCACACGTGCTCACTCAATGACATACTACATAATTAATTAATATAATTATTATGTCATTTTTAATTAATCTGTACTATACAAAGACTAATAAAGAAATACTTACTGTTTAAATAAAACATAAAATAATGTATAAAACTCAGAAACAGAGTTGAATAAAGTCAAGTACCTACTCGTAGCAGTGTGTTAATTGGATCGTCCTAGAAAAAGGGTAGTTGAGATGCGTTCAAAATATGGTAATACGTTTACTCTTGACGTAGAATAAGCTTAAAGAAATATTAAAAAATATTTTGACTGCTTTTCTTTTTACATTGTTAATTTACAATTCAATTTGCTGAATTTTAAGATTTATTTCATTTCTATACATAAACAGGTGAAAAATATACATTTGTCTTTAGGATAGTATAAGCAAGTTTATTTTATGATGTAATTTTTGATTTATACTCCTTTATTATCGAATAAGAGTATGGTTTACAAGATGATGTTGTGACCAGGATTAAGAAAGGAATGCTTCGATGGTTTGGACATGTGGAAAGAATGAATGGGGAAAAAGTGACAAAGAAAATTTATGTTGCAGAAGTGGCAGATTCGGAAAGGGACGTCCTAGGGGAAAATTTATCGACCAAATTAGCGATTTATTAAAAACGGGCCAAATTAGGAGTACCCTTAACCGACGAGCATGTATGCGTTGTTATTTGGACGTGAAGGAGGCGAGAGAGGTGTGTCAGGATCGTGTCAAATGGAAGTCTGTAGTCTCTGCCTACCCCTCTGGGTGACAGGCGAGTTTGTGTATGTATGTATGTATTTTGTCGAATAGAGGTGACAAGCTAACAACACACAGTCTACCTGATGGTAAGTAGAGTAGATGTTGTGATCCATAGACATCTACATCTATTTTCGATTAAAAATCAAAATGGAGGTGCGTTGTTACTCTTGAGGACTAAGATGGAATGCCTCATTTTCAGTAAAAAGGGTCTCAGCTTTTTTACACTCCCTTATGAATCACAGCAGAATTGTTACTATTTTACGCTAGTATTCTGTAAGGGCGTGGTTTTTACCCGCTGCTACAACAATAGTATAGCTGCAATATGTTTAAAAAGAAAAAGGGTTCACTGACGCAACATTGTAACGACGCTCAGTACTCTTTATAACAGAAATTGTTTATTATGTTTAAGTGGTTTATTAGTGAAAGTAAATCGTAAAAATACCTTCCTTTGTCATAATTACAATAAATATGTAATCGTTGTTGAAAAAAGTTAAGCAATTTTGCAGTTTTAACTTGAAAAAAAAATATTTTATGCCCGCCGTTACAAGGTTGCGTTGTTGAATTTTGTGTCAAATGTGATATTTTTTATAGGATAGGGTGACAAACGAGCACACACTCCTCTTGATGGTAAGTGGTTGCTGTGGACATCTACATCTATCCTCGATTGCGAATCAAAATGCAGATGCGTTGTCACCCGTGAGGACTAAGATGGAATGCCTCGTTTCCAGTAAAAAGGGTCTCTGGTTCTCTACACTCACCATACAAAACACAGCAGCATTAAGCTACTATAATAAACTGATGTATTAAATTGGCCCTATTGTAACTAGTGGATCTTAAACTTCTAAGCTCCAATGCAAGCCGTCGTAAGCCATATTGATTATTACTTGTTTTGTCCGCAATCATTGTGTCACTCAGTGATATTACTGATTTACTGATAAATATACGGTTAGTTGTGTTGATTTATTTCGTCTACGGCTGCCACTGGAGAACTTTCTACCCCATCAGTTGTCGGTTCGTTCAGCTACATGACCGGCCCATTGCTATTTCAGTGTACTAATCCGTAAATAAAACTTAATTAGTAAACTTGAAATGACCTATTCAAATGATGTGTGTATAAATAATGTATGTATGTGTAACGCGACCTGGATGTGGTGTTCAGGCGGGTTGTATGTGCGACTGTCGCGGGGCGGCGTCGTGCTGTGCAGCGGTCGCGCTGCGTGCGCGCTGCCGGCGCGGCGCTGGGCGTGCCTCGCGCTCAACGTGCGCGAGCTGGTGCTGCGCCGCCGTCTGCACGTGCAGGTGGGTTGTGAGCTGTGGGCTGTGGGCACTACTGTCACGGCGCGGCGTCGTGCTATGCAGCGGTCGCGCTTCGTGCGCGCTGCCGGCGCGGCGGTGGGCGTGCCTCGCGCTCCCCGTGCGCGCGCTGGTGCTGCGCGGCCGTCTGCACGTGCAGGTGGGTTGTGGGCTGTGGGCTGTGGGCACTACTGTCACGGCGCGGCGTCGTGCTGTGCAGCGGTCGCGCTGCGTGCGCGCTGCCGGCGCGGCGCTGGGCGTGCCTCGCGCTCAACGTGCGCGAACTGGTGCTGCGCCGCCGTCTGCACGTGCAGGTGGGTTGTGAGCTGTGGGCTGTGGGCACTACTGTCACGGCGCGGCGTCGTGCTGTGCAGCGGTCGCGCTGCGTGCGCGCTGCCGGCGCGGCGCTGGGCGTGCCTCGCGCTCAACGTGCGCGAACTGGTGCTGCGCCGCCGTCTGCACGTGCAGGTGGGTTGTGGGCTGTGGGCTGTGGGCACTACTGTCACGGCGCGGCGTCGTGCTATGCAGCGGTCGCGCTACGTGCGCGCTGCCGGCGCGGCGCTGGGCGTGCCTCGCGCTCAACGTGCGCGAACTGGTGCTCTGCGCCGCCGTCTGCACGTGCAGGTGGGTTGTGGGCTGTGGGCTGTGGGCACTACTGTCACGGCCCGGCGTCGTGCTGTGCAGCGGTCGCGCTGCGTGCGCGCTGCCGGCGCGGCGCTGGGCGTGCCTCGCGCTCAACGTGCGCGAACTGGTGCTGCGCCGCCGTCTGCACGTGCAGGTGGGTTGTGGGCTGTGGGCTGTGGGCACTACTGTCACGGCGCGGCGTCGTGCTGTGCAGCGGTCGCGCTGCGTGCGCGCTGCCGGCGCGGCGCTGGGCGTGCCTCGCGCTCAACGTGCGCGAACTGGTGCTGCGCCGCCGTCTGCACGTGCAGGTGGGTTGTGGGCTGTGGGCTGTGGGCACTACTGTCACGGCGCGGCGTCGTGCTGTGCAGCGGTCGCGCTGCGTGCGCGCTGCCGGCGCGGCGCTGGGCGTGCCTCGCGCTCAACGTGCGCGAACTGGTGCTGCGCCGCCGTCTACACGTGCAGGTGGGTTGTGGGCTGTGGGCTGTGGGCACTACTGTCACGGCGCGGCGTCGTGCTGTGCAGCGGTCGTGCTGCGTGCGCGCTGCCGGCGCGTCGCTGGTCGTGCCTCGCGCTCAACGTGCGCGAGCTGGTGCTGCGCCGCCGTCTGCACGTGCAGGTGGGTTGTGGGCTGTGGGCTTGGGCACTACTGTCACGGCGCGGCGTCGTGCTGTGCTGCGGTCGCGTTGCGTGCACGCTGCCGGCGCGGCGCTGGGCGTTTCTTGCGCTCAACGTGCGTGAGCTGGTGTTGCGCCGCCGGCTGCACATGCAGGTGGGTTGTGGGCTGTGGGCGCTACTGTCGCGGGGAGGCGTTGTGCTGTGCAGCGGTCGCGCTGCGTGCCCGCTGCCGGCAACGCAGTCTTAGGCCATACCGGGGCCCCTGGGCACACTAGAATTTGGGGCCCTGTTGGAAAGTAAAAAAAAGCTGCTCAGGGTTGCCAGAAAGTTACTAATATCGCCCTCATATACCCTATGTATGGGCTACAGCACGTACATTTTTGTGGCGTCGGCAGTTTACGTTATAACGCTACAATAATGCATTTTGAGTCAGTGCGCTAATTGAGCCCAGCAATACCGGTCACGCGTGCTCGCAGTATCATTTCCCATCTATCATTAAATTAGATTTAGTTGGTTCTATCAATAAACTATCAATTATCAACTTCCCAGTATTGACTATCATTTACTATCAACTACTATCAACCGACCACGTGAGGGTCCCGTCGCAGCCCATACATATTTTTGGTCCTTCGAGCCAGATAAATTAAATCGAAAAAGTAACATTTGTGAACTAAATTCGTATATTGATCAAGATGAAGTATTGAGAGTCGGTGGGAGGTTGCGAAATGCCAATCTGGACCCAGACATGAAAAATCCTATCATTATACCCGGCAACAGTCGCCTTGCTGAGCTTCTTATAGACCAGGCGCATGAAATGACATACCATGGTGGTGCTCGGCTAACATCAGTCAACCTGAGACAAAAGTACTGGATCGTCGGTGGCAACAGAGCTACGAAGAAGAGATTACGTCACTGTATCGAATGTAGAAGGCACGAACCAACCAAACACTATCAAATTATGGTTGACCATCCAGCAGCTAGAGCAAACCCTTCACGCCCCTTCCATCACGTCGCTGTAGACTACACGGGCCACGTGTTCATCAAAGCTAACTCAGGCCGTGGGATCAAAACTACGAAAGGTTATATCGCTGTGTTCAAGTGTATGACCACAAAGGCTGTACATTTGGAGTTTATGTCTGACCTGACGAGTACTGCATGCTTAGCAGCGTTACGGAGAATGACAGCTCGCCGTGGCAAACCTAACCACATTTATAGCGATAATGGCACGAACTTCATAGGAGCCAACAAGGTCTTACAGCAGGAATATGAAGAGCTCCTCAGAACTATTGGTGATGAGTTCCTTTCAGAAGTGTCCAAGATGGGTATAAATTGGCACTTGAATGCACCTTCGTGGCCATCAGCCAATGGTCTTTGTGAAGGAACCGTGAAAAGCCTCAAGTATCATCTAAGGAGGGTGGTCGGTGATCAAAAACTCACCTACGAGGAGTACAGCACGCTACTAGCACAATTAGAAGCTTGCTTAAATTCGAGACCACTATGTCCATTGACGGAGGACGCTGATGATTTAAATTATTTAATCCCATCACATTTTCTATCAAGCGGTCCAATTCTATCAATATATAAGACGGAACGTGATCTTAGGACTAGGTGGCATTTAACACAAAAAATATTCCAAGACATTTGGAAAAGGTGGCAACAAGAATATTTAACAAATCTATCAGCCCGGAGCAAGTGGCGCCAACCTCAAGAAAATATCAAATTAAATGACATCGTACTCATCAATGATGGTAACCTTCCTCCAGGCAGATGGGCCCTCGGTAGGGTGGACGAATTGCACCCTGGTAATGCTACGTGCGTGTTGTAAAGACGGTACTGGCTGCCGGTGCGGTGCTGGGCGTGCCTCGCGCTCAACGTGCGCGAGCAGGTGCTGTGCCGCCGGCTGCACATGCAGGTGGGTTTTGGACTCTGGGCTGTGGGTGCGAATGTCACGGGGTGGCGTCGTGCTGTGCATTAAAGCTGTCGCGCTGTGTGCGCGCTGCCGGCGTAGCGCTGGACGTGCCTCGCGCTCAACGTGCGCGAGCTGGTGCTGCGCCGCCGGCTGTCCTGCCCATCTATAGCTGCGCGTAAACAGCGACGAATATCCCCGCGCTTACGCGTGTCTCTATAGGTCCCATAGCGGTAATGCCGACACAGACCGACTCATCGATCACGTCCAAATGGCTGCAGACTCCGTACTACAACAGGTCCCATCCGCAGAGATCGTGATACATGGCGATTTCAACCCCGGAGTTGGCACCGGTTTTAACGCGTCTTTTCCGGTACTCTTACTCCCAAGGCGTAGACCCGAAAAGTTATGGATAGCGTTCGTGCACCCGGTCCCTAAAAAAGTTAACCGCTCTGATCTGTCCAACTATAGGCCTATCACCATCAGCTTGTTCTCTAAAATAATGGAATCCGTTATCAATAGTCAGCTTATGCGGTACCTTGAGAGTCACCAGCTGATTAGTGCCAGCTAGTACGATTTCCGTTGCGGTCGCTCGGCTGGTGATCTTCTGGGTTACATAACTCATATATGGGCGGAGGCATTATAGTCCAAGGGGCAGGCGTTGGTTTGGACATAGTCAAGGCCTTCAAATCTTACGGAGCTTCCTTCCTATGGGCTTTCCGAAAAATTGTTCAGTTGGATCGCCGGTTTTCTTGCAGATCTGAGCGACAAGGTCTTAGTAGACGGTGCAAGCTCCGATTATAAGCCAAACCCTAGATCACTAACCTTCTTCAAAACGACAACGCGGACTCAAAAAAAGTGGTATACATTTTGAGTGCGTCGTCGTAAGCATTCCAAATTCCGGCTAATCTTAGTTGATTCAAGGCTCCCGCGGCGCATGGTTATGTTTTTGTGTAGGGGCACTGTGTGCGCCGTTTTAGCCGCCATGAGTCGCCGAATCGACGAAGGATAGTATTAACGTTATGCTTGCAAAGTTATTTTTATTTTTTTTTAGTGTTATAATTATTTTGGTGTTTTGTAAACTTTGTACTTAATTTGTCTACTTTGAAGTAAGAACTTACATAATTTTATTTGAATATATTTTTCTTTTAGATACTATTCGTCAGCTGTTATTAGATGATAATAGTGACGAAGAAAACTGCTCTAAGAGTGAGATAGAAGACCACCTTGAGGCTGATGAAGACTCGCGCGGACCGCCGTAACGAACAGACGCGCGCAGCGGAAAGCTCCCGAGAGCCGATCCGCGCACGACCCACGCACTGCGTGTGGTATCTTGAAATTTTGTGCGGTTCTTAAAACAATCCAGATTGGAACGAGACTTGAAGTGAATAGAAAGTGAAAAATCATAAACTGTGAGGACCCCGGGGGAGCACCCCCTGGGATTCACCAGAAGAAGTGAGACAGGCAACACCCAACAGAATTAGTGAATCAAGAGTAATAGGAAACATGCTCTCGAAAAACAACAGTGAAAGTTCACACAAATCTAATGATATGGACACGGATCTACTTAGTCTAGACAAGGACAGTAAACAAGTGAAAGACAAAGTGAAAAAAGTGAAAATGGACCTCAATGAGTTCAATAAAAATATAATACAGTGCTGGAAATGCGAACAATACTTCCAAACGGACGCCCCCTGTGGGGTACCAATCAAATGAACACGAGGAAAATCCAATGTAATGTATGCATGGAAAGCTTTCTCATAAAGGCGGCCACTACTATAGTGCCCAAATTCGAAAAAGAAACACTAAAAATCGAAACTACCATAACAATATACACAGCCTCGCTAAAAACCGGAGTAAGCAACTTTCGTGCGTGCGTGGACTGTAAAACAAAGAGAGAATTGATCACCCTACCGATAGACGCATTTACATCGGAGGAATGGTTCATCTGTAAGTGCGGCAAAAATCAATGCGCACTTATAAAAACCACGGCAGAGGATTCAAGCCCGTCTCTAACCACCCAAAGAGGCAAGAAAAAAGAAATCGTAAGGGCGTTGGCTTGCAAGAGCCAGTGCACGTGCAACGAACGAGGTTAGAGCCGACGAACGGCACATGCAAGCCGCTCGCCGCCCGGACCGCCCCCCGCCTCACCTCAGGGGAACGACACAGCGTGCGAGCGTCTACGCTAGTGAACAAAAGAAACGACACCATCGCCCAAAGCCACACGACCACGGTGCGTACCTGCGCGACCGAAACAACCCAAAGTTTGGCCGCCACATGTAACACCCAGCGCGCGGACAGGCAAGCCGAGGCCAACTCGGAAACAATCTATAATATACCGTTAGCAAACAGATTTGAAACGCTACAAAACGAAAATAGAGGAATAAAAAGACAACGCACCGGAACAGATAAGTTCGTGACGCCCACACAGAAAAACACACATATCCCTGATATAATAATTAGGGATGAAAAAAATAATGAACGACCAACGCGCCCTCAGATTTATAAGAGAGGCGACATCAACAATAATTCAACGCTTAGAGTGACGAACGGACAAATAAAAATCAACCCGGGGAGCTCAGCAGCCCGGGAAGACATTCTCACGAAAATCCAAGTGTGCGAACCATCAAGAATAATAGCACCAAAACCGAAAGCTGACAGACAACCAGCGACAAAAGTGGTGCTGAAAAATGAAACATACGGTGAGGACACTGACATAATCGCAGAAGAGATAGCGGAATGCATTGGCATTAAACCGATATCAATAAAACCGCTAGGAAAAGCAGGTAAAATACACCTCTTGATTTTTGAAAATAAATATAAACAAAAAAGCGTACTGGAAGCATGTAAAACCGCTGACAGGAAGTTCTTCTGCGCCCCTTGCATAAAGGTAGAGCCATTCAGAGAAAACCCGAGACACATAGTGCAATGCAAGAAATGCTATGCATTTGACCACTCGAAACAGTCTTGCTACGGCAGACAAGAAGAATCACAGATCAAAATCAATACACCCGAGGGCACTACGACGATGGTCTGCAAAAACTGTAAGAAAGAAGGACACAGCGCGAACAACGCTACCTGCCCGATATTTCAAAAAATGATATCCAAACAAATGGAACAAGCGAAAGCCAAACAGACTAAACAAGAAGAGAGAATCAGACGTGCGACTGTCAGACCTGGAGTCAGATATGCGGACGTCTCAAGCAAAAGACAATTCCCCGCCTTGCCACAGAAGGAGCCGACAGTATCACAGGGGGAGCAGGCAATGTTACCACCGATGAACGAAACAACCATAGAAAGCCTCCACCTAAGACTGGAGCGAACGGAAAAACTACTAATGAAGCTCATAGAAACCATGAATAACACACAACGACAGACCAATGGCTAATCACGACCAAAAAAGTATACAGAACCTCAAAATCCTACACCTAAATGCACAAGGACTGAGAAAGAAATTCATTGAAGTAAAAAAGCTGGCAGAAAAATACAGGCCAGCCATAATAGTGATAAACGAATGCAAAATCGACTTCGACAAGGAGAAGTTTAACATGAAAGGATACGATAAAATCACACACTCGCTTAAAACCCACTTAACCACAGCCATGTACATACAAAGGGGGCTAAGATGGACCGAAACAGAGGTCACACCGGGGTGGGGAGAGAAATAAAATTGAAGGCGTGGGCATCAAACTGTTCACAGACCACGCGACTGGACAATACATAAAAATAAAAGGGACCTACTTTCAAATCCCAAATCAACACCAAGCCAGAGAAGAGCTTGAAGAAACCTTGGCTGACGAACCAACGATCATAATAGGAGATCTGAATCTACAGATGCGCGCCCTGAACCAAAGAAGAGACGCAGGCCTAGGCATTGTAATCAGGAAAGCAATAAACGACGGAATCTGCTCGCTAAAAAACGCCGGCGCGCCGTCGAGGCCGGCCAACGAAGGCAACGCAATCCTGGACATAGCCGTAATAACACACCAACAGATCGAGGCACAAGCCAAGCAGTTAGAAAGCGTTGGATCAGACCATCTACCATGGCTACTCACTTTAAAAATCGAACACAACATAGAGGTAAACAAATCTCGCAACACAAGGAGGATACGCGAGGACGAGGGGGCGATGGAAGCATACCAACAAACCATGTGGAAAGGCTTCCGCTACCTACACGGGGAAATAATCACGGAGGAAGACTGCGAAAGATACGTCGAAACCATGGAGAAATCCATTACAGCAGCCCTCGACGAACACGCACCTTTCAGAACAACAACGAGACGAGAACATCTACCACCGGAAATTAATGAAAAGATAGACTTCAGAAACAAGCTGAAACAAATTAAATGGCAGGCAAGGCACGGCAGCCTCAACCTACAACGAGAGGCACGTGCCCTCTACAACAAAGCCAAAAAAGAAGCAGACCAAGCACTGAGAGAATATACCGAGAAGGGCTGGCTGGATAAGATCCAGGATCCGAATGACAATAGGTCGCAAATGTGGCGCATCCAACGCAACATGAAGAAACCAATCATGAGACTACCAAACATAACGGGCTGCAAAACGGAAAAAGAGACGATCGACTCACTGACTGAGGCAGCAATAGTAAAAGAGGCAGTAATTGCGACGGAAGATGAGGGCACAGAGAAAACGACCCCGTTCCAGCCACTCGACCCAACATCAAAACACGAAGTCAAATTAGCACTGAGCAGGTTCAAAAACAAAAAGGCTCCCGGGCCAGATGGAATCAAGGCAGACGCCCTCAAACTCGGGGGAGAAGTCTTCACCGAGGCATTTGTGCCTCTCGCTAACTTTATATTGTCCACAGGCTACTTCCCTAAGAGATGGAAAACCGGCGTGTGCATCTTCCTGCACAAAGCTGGCAAAGATCATCGCCAGGCACTATCGTACCGCCCGATTACACTGCTCAACATAATGGGCAAACTGTGCGAGCGACTGATCCTGAGACGACTCACCGCCACGGTGGACCGGCTGCAACCACTGTTCCAACACGGCTTCACAAGGGCCAGAGGCACAGCGACCCAGATCCTTCGCACCGGTAAAATAATCACAGATGCCTTGGCCAACGGCGACAGCGTCTCCATGATATCAACAGATCTCTCGAAAGCCTTTGACTCGATTAACCACAAAGGCTTGATCAAAAAGCTACAAGACAAAGACGTACCCACTAACATCACAAAAATTATAGAAAACTACCTTGCAGGCAGACAACTGAAAGGCAGGTTTAGAACAACTGAAACAGAGGAGAAACCTATACTCCATGGCGTGCCTCAAGGATCGATCCTGGGACCGGTGATTTTCAACCTGTATGTCCATGACATCTGGGACATACATGACAGAATTAAGGGGCTCAAACTCTCACAGTACGCAGATGACCTCTGCATTCTCAACAGAGCCACAAACCCAGACCATGCAACCATGCGATCGGAATGGGCAGCAGAAACTATTATTAACTACTATACGAGATGGGGGCTCAAATGCAACATAGAGAAAACCGAGTGCATTATGTTCTCAAAGAAAAGTAAATACCGCCCAGCGGTAAAATTAAAACAACAGATGCTACCATACCAAAACCAGATCAAATACCTCGGCGTGGTCTTCGATAAACGCATGAGAATGAATCAACACACCGAAAAGGTAGTGAAGAAACTGAAACGGGTCAGAGGAGCCCTTGGCCCGATAATTGGATACTACGCAAAAACAGATCTAGAAACCAAACTGGCCATAATACAGGCCTGCATTCTGCCACTGCTGGACTACGGAGTGGTCCAACTGCTATCGAGGTACAGCGCGACGAACCTGAGTAAAATCGAAAGACAATACAGAATGGCACTCAAGAGTGCTGCCCAACTACCGAAAAGAATATCCACAGAGATACTATGGGAGATGGCTGACATAGAAGCCTGGCACCTACGTGCCGAGGACATAAATCAGAAGATGTTGGACAACATTGCCCAACTGGGAATAGAAGACCTAGAATCCCCCGGTGACGCCTACCTGGCGCACGGAGAATTCAATCCCCTCAGGACCAACCATAGAATAGGTGAAATTGTATATGATCCCAAAAAGAAAAATTACAAGCGATGGCCCACCGATAACACGGGAGCCCCGCGCCCTCTTAGGATAAGGTAATTAAGGCTAGCAAATAAGTACGCAAAAACAAATCAAATACATAATAATTTTATTGTATAAACTTTATTATGAATAAGCAAAACACAGCAAACACAGATCCACCTAGGACATAAGTTAGCTGACTCACCCTCACACGGTTCACCGGCCGTGAGGATGCAAATGTAAATACACAAGTAGGCAAATAAATATTTTCTGATTCTGATTCTGATTCTGATTGAGGCTGATCCGGCTTATGAAACAGATGGTGAGGAACAAATATTTTCTGTGACAGAACAACCACCTTTAACTGAAGACATCCTGGCAAGTACGTCAACAGTACATACAAGCCAAAGCCCCAAAATATAATATTCCTATTGTCGACTTGTGATAAGGAAAGGAAAATTGATGAGTTAACCAAAAAGCCCACGATGGTCGAGTTTTACAATCAAACTAAGGGCGGAGTACCATCAAAAATTAGTCGAGCCACACATGCAAAAAAGATTACAAATTCCGACACTTTAAACGGGGCTGCGGGACTCAATAACAGTGATTTTGAATATGCCAGGAACCAGTAGTTCTACTTCTATATATGAAACTGATCCAAGAGAAGATGCAGTGTCTTCCTGTTGCCAAAAAAAAAGAAAAATTTGTGCAATTTGCCCCTCCGCAAAGCGAAGAATGACAGAGTTGTTGCACCAAGTGCAACAAATCCTTGTTGCGAACACAAACTTGACATTTGTCACAAATGTATTGATTAATTCATTTTTTCTAAACTGTTTCTTTCTTTTGTTGATTTTATTACTTAATTTTAATATTTTAATACTTTTTTAAGTCTCTATTTTTTGTTCATAAGAATTAAGCATTTAAAAAAACAAAAATTTTCAACTGAATAAAAACTCAGGTCTGAATTAAAAGAGTGTCAAAGTAATTAAAATGTAATTTTAGTGGATAAAAAACTTATAAACATGTTAACAAATGATTATTGTAATAAATAAGTAAAACACATATAAATATTCCATAAACCCTTTGAAGCCTCCCTTTTTTATGGTGTAGCCGAAACGACGAAGGTTAGTAATAAGCGTTGTAAAAGAAGGTTAGTGATCTAGGGTTAACGCTGGCGTTCTACAAGGCTGCGTGCTATCACCGACGCTGTTTCTTTTGTATATCAATGATATGTTGCAAACTGGCAACATTCGTTGCTATGCGGACGACAGAACTATTTACTTTATACACCGGCCGTGCCAATATTTCTCGGGAAAACGTCGTTGAGTACCGGGACAAACTTATCTCTGAAGTCAGAGCGTGGTTCTTACCCGGTCAAGCCGACTTATTCACGCTCCAACGTTAATCTAGTTAAAGCTTGGCTCTACCACGTAATATTTTATATCCAAAAATAAAATATTAATACAGAAAACGAAGTCAACTAATATTCTCAATAGAGTAACCTGCAGTTCAATTACTAATTTCCTTTTATTAGAAGCACTTAACAAACTTTTACTTTTTTACAGGTCACATTCTACTTGAACGGACGCGAATGCGATACAGTCTCTCTACCGTTACAAGGTAAATGTTCATAATCGTTTCATTCACACTTCACTCGCTTAATAATATTTAACCATTACTATTTAAGGCACTACTTTCATTTTGGTTTTTATGGTGAAGAATTTATTCTATAATTATAAAAAAAAACTATCAATACGGCCCGGCTTCACACGAGTGATTTCTGGATCGCGGTAATAGCGCCACCTACCGGACACAACCATAGTTAAGAACCACCACCTGGGTGGTTCACTGTATAATAAGTACACCATAAAAATTTCAGCGAAATGTGAATACTATAATATATAAAAGATTTTCATTTTTTATTTAATACTGCCTAAAAGTCCTTTTAGAGTAAACATGTGTAATCTGATCTCTTACTACGTACTTATTGCGTTAAATGCTCGAGATAACTCTAGCAGAAAAACGGCATATCAAAAGCTAAACCAGAGATTTGTAATGGTTTATAAATTAGGCTTTTAAACTATTCGCTTGTAAACAATAGAAGATATTATTTTACAAACTATACGATCATCGACTCAGTTCAATTACAATAACATTCGACATGTCTATCTACTTGAGAGTTAAATTCAGAAATTTCGTTCGTTTCATCTACGACGAGGTTGTCTTGATATGTAACGTGGTTACGTGACGTGCAGGCATCCTGGTGCGCAAGGCGACGCCGACGAGTTTGCTGCTGGGGCATGCGGTGGCGGGCGCGGCGGCGAGCTGGCAGCTGGGCTCGCTGCGCGTGCTGCGCGCGCCCGTGCTCACCGCGCACACGGCGCTGCACCTCGCTGCACATGGACCAGACCACGCTTGCGAGGTTCTCCACAATTTGTAACACGATCTATGCAAACGAAAATACATTTATTTTGTTTTGATTTACGTGTTGAAACCAAACACTTCTATGTATAGTACTAGACCGATAATTTAGAACAAAAACTCTGCTGACAGATGGATTCAACTTTGGATAGCACCATTTCGGCCAATAGAAGGAAGCGACTATGGGAACAATAAACTACCGACTGTTGTTACAGAATGATGAAAACTAAGAAAGGTGCATAGGTTTTTTGTGTACGCTGTATTTTAGTTTAAGAAAATATTTTAATATCTAATTACTAACTCGCTTTTGCACAATTTCAAAATTCTGTGCCCGAACAATCTCTAATATAATTTAAATTCGCCTGCGATGTATTGCGCCTTCACATATGTGTATATAGTAATGTAGCTTCGATTATAATACAGCTGTAAAGTTTAAATAGTGTCAAAAAGACCCACATCAACTTACGCATTGTATGATTTTATTCTCAATTAATTAATGAATTTTCATGAGACTAAATGTTAGCACCTGTAATACGTCAATCATTCATCATCATCATTACAGCCCTTCACAAGTCCACTGCTGAACATAGGCCTCCCCCAAGTAATGCCACAAAGCACGGTCTTGAGCCACCTGCATCCATCGACTTCCTGCATGTCTTACCAGGTCGTCACTCCATCTAGTGGGGGGTCGCCCTACACTACGCCTACCGGTACGAGGCTGCCACTCGAGAACCTTTCTTCCCCATCGGTTATCGGTTCTTCGAGCTATATGGCCGGCCCATTGCCACTTCAGCTTACTAATCCGTTGGGCTATGTCGGTCACTCTGGTTTTACTGCGGATATCCTCATTTCTGAGTCTATCACGCAGAGAAACTCCGAGCATAGCCCTCTCCATAGCTCGCTGAGCGACCTTAAGCGTCCTCATACGGCCAGCAGTGAAGGACCACGTCTCAGATCCGTAAGTCATCACTGGCAACACGCACTGGTTGTACAATCTAGTTTTTAGAGATTGAGGTATACCTGACGAAAAGATATGCCGTAATTTCCCGAACGCTGCCCAGCCGAGTTGAATCCGTCGATTGACCTCTCGGTCGAAGTTGGACTTACCTAGTCGGACTATTTGTCCCAGGTAAACGTATTCGTCAACAACTTCGAGCATAGTGCTCCCAACAACTACCGGCATAGGTGTGACATGGACATTGAACATGATCTTTGTTTTGTCCATGTTCATCTTAAGACCTATCCGTTGGGAGGCACTATTGAGGTCATTGAGCATAGTGCTTAAGTCCTCCAGCGATTCTGCCATAAGGACTATATCGTCGGCAAATCGAAGGTGAGTGATGTACTCGCCATTGATGTCAATACCGTATCCTTTCCAGTCCAGTAGGTTGAAAACGTCTTCCAATGCAGCGGTGAAGAGTTTCGGGGATATAACGTCACCCTGTCTTACACCTCTCTGCAGTTGGATAGGTTTCGAGCTCTGGTTCTGTACTCGGATAGCCATCGTAGCCCTACTGTACAAACACTTCAGCACTTCGATATACCGACAGTCAACTTGGCACCGCTGAAGGGACTGTAGCACCGCCCAAATTTCGACGGAATCAAAGGCTTTCTCATAGTCCACATACGCCAGGCAAAGTGGCAGATTGTACTCTTCAGTCTTCTGTACAATCTGCCGCAGGGTATGTATGTGGTCTATGGTACTGAAGCCTTTTCGGAAACCGGCTTGTTCGGGAGTTGTTAATACGTCACGCAAAGGACTATTTCCTCCCCTTTGCTGATATTTCCATTGGTGTTAAAGCCCGCCCATGGTGTAACGCCGAGTACGCTCGTGCTAAAAAGCACATGTGTATGAGCTACTTATCCTGGGTCCATGCTCGAGACCGTAAAGATCCGGATGCTAGCCTTAAGAAGAGAGCCAGCCTTTAACCAAGCCGACAACTCCTACAAAATGGCATTAGGCAAGCCAGTTTTGATCGCATTAACCGCATCGGTGCAAAGCTCTCTGTCAAATCATCTGGCAGCAGAGCTTTCTGGTCTCTAGCCAGAGCGGTTTAAACAAACTTCTGCCGGTGTACACTGTCTTCACTGGTGAAACCGGATGGATCACTGGCGCATGCGGTTGTGGAGAAAACTAACTTATTGGCTTCTTTTTTTGGTAGCAACAGCCCACCATCTTAATTACCTCACTGCGCTACCTCTATGTCGAAGGTCCGTATCACCAAAAATGAAGTTCTTAAAACCTTGCGAAGTCTAGACGTGAACAAAGGCGGTGGACCTGATGGTGTACTAGCTATAGTTCTAAAGGTCTGTGCGCCGAGTTGTCTCCTGTGTTGACGCATTTTATCAGAATGGTAGAGCCATGCTGCAGTTATATTAGTAGTATAATTGTTACACGAATGGGTCGGCTCGACCGGGGAAGGACCACGCTCTCACAGAATACCAGCGTGAAATATTAGCTTAATGCTGCTGTGTTTCATATGGTGAGTGTAGAGAACCGAAGACCCTTTTTACTGGAAACGAGGCATTCCATCTTAGTCCTCACGGGTGACAACGCATCTGCATTTTGATTAGTAATCGAGGATAGATGTAGATGTCTATGGGCCACAGCAACCACTTACCATCAGGTGGACTGTGTGCTCGTTTGTCACCCTATCCTATAAAAAAAAACTTGGACTTCTTGGAAACTAGCCAATATGCCGCCAGTGCTTAAAAAAGGCAGCCGTACCGACCCCGTAAACTAGCAGCCAATCCCAATCACCTTCATACAATTATGGAGCGTATATTGAACGCCCACCTCATGGCATACTTAGAGCAGATTGATCTCCTTAGTGACCGCCAGTATGGGTTTCGCCGAAATGGATCAACTGGGTACTTTCTATAAAAAATATAGAAGATCCCCAGTTAATCGATTTTTTCTAGCGTGTGTTATTCTTATATAGGGCAAAGCCTTCGAGAATATTGGGGAAGTATTTGCTGTTTCCCTTGATGTCTTGAAGGCCTTTGATAGGGTTGGGCACACTAGCCTATTGCGCAAACTTAAAGCGTACGGCTTTTCCCCCGATTGACAAGTTGAAGGACTATCTGAGTGAACAATCTCTCCGAGTCGTCATCGATGGCTATTCGTCCATTCATATCGCAACAAACGCCGGAGTTCTTCAGGGGTCCGTTCTCTTCGCAACTCTCTTCTTGCTGCATATTAATGATTTGCTCATTATCGGTATCTACGGGTATGCAGATGACAGCTTAGTTATGGAGAGAGACCAGCCGAATGTTCGGGCCAGTCGGGATCATATCTATTCCGAAAGGGAAGCTATGGTTGAGTGTGCGAATATCTCACTGCAGGCAGTTTTCGAATGGGGCGATGCCAATCTCGTTAGATTCAACGATTTTAAAACACAAGCGCGTCGTTTCACCGCTAAAAGGCGCCCGCTCACCCTGGCTCCCACTTTCCGCAATTCGCTCGCTTTCAGTTTTAGGGGTTGAATTTTCTCCAAATCTCAGTTATGAGCGGTTCATTGAGTTCAGAGCCAAAGCGGCCGCAATAAAACTAGGTGTCCTTGTAAGGGCTTCCCACATTATATAAAGCGCAACTCCGGTCGTATATGAAGTAGGCTTGTCTCATATGTGTTGGTGTTGCAAAATGCCACCAGGTAGCGTCGGACTCAGTGAAGAGACATGCAAGAGGCTCATTAGTAACCTTGATTTGGTTGAAATCAATCTTCTCAGCTTCGAGCACCGGCGCAGAGTAGCCGGCCCCTCGGAATTCTATAGGATGCATTCGGTGAGTGTGTTCAGGAACTGCACGCTTTAATTCCTCCCTTTTTATTCCAACATCGGACGAGCAGGCGGGTGGTCTGTCTTCACTGCTTCGTTGTCGATATTTTACGCATTAGAACTAAACGGTTTGCTTCGTGTTTTGTAATACGTACAGTCAATGAGTGGAATATTATTTGCTGACCTCTGTCTTTCCGTCTGAATACAATGTGGTCGTTTTCAATGTAAGCTGAATAGACTTTTGTTACGGTACGGTATGGCAGTGCGATTTACTGTATAAGGCTATTTCACCACTTACCACCACGTGGGATTTTGGTTAAGTATTGGCTTATAATAAGTAAAAAACTAATATATCATGAGTATAGATATCAAACATTTGCACGTGAAATGCTATAACATTCTTTAAATAATTTTGTGTTCCAATTACAATTAGTTCTTAATAGTGTTTTGATATTTTATTTAATATCCTTTTGTCTTATGTAGGTGCGATGTGAAGAGCCTAATTTTGCTGCCATAATGACGCCCGAAATTTTGGAAATGAACATCGATTGGGATCAGGTAAAATATTTTGTTATAAGTAAACGTTTTATGCTTTGCAAATTCATTTTTATAGTGATGTTGCATTAAATTTTGGAATATACCTATATACGCTTTAATATTTTCCACTTTGGAAGCAAGTTTAAAGGCGTCATGATTTACGAGTATACGTGGTCGAGCCAAGTTCCAAGAGCCAAATTGATGGTTGTAGCATGAATGGCTTGCCTCGATCGGGGAAGGACTCCGCTTTCACAGAATATCATCGTGAAATAACAGCTTAACACTGCTACGTTTCGTATTGTGAATGTAGAGAACCGGAGGTCCTTTTTACTGGAAATGAGGCAGTCCATATTAATTTTTAGTCCTCATGCATCTGCATTCTGATTCTTAATTGGAGATAGATGTGGATGGGTATGTATATGGTATCTAGTTGGTGTCAGGTGGGCTGTGTTTGCTTGTGACCGTTATTCTAAAAATGGTTAAGAGCGAAGTGATGCGGTGTGCAGGTGCATGAGCTGGAGGCTGGTGCGCTGCACGCGCTGCAGGCAGCGCTGCTGCTGCAGCTGGCGCCGCACGAGCCGTGCGCCGCGCGCCTCTACCCGCCGCCCGCCCCGCAACAGCCCTCCGCGCCGCCCGCCCCGCCCACTGGTACCGTATGCTGCCAACTATACACCAGTCACATCACTCACCATTGTCATCCTACACACAGATTTGCGCTCACGGCACCCACCTCTCATCCGCGCAGAACAGGATTATAATGTTCAAATGCACAGCTGTACTCAAGCCAGCCACATAATACAGAATAGATATTAAGAATAAAACTACAACACGAACACATTGTGGAGTCTACTGTCGCGGTTTTTGCCTACTCCTTTTTAAAAGTATAATCATCTCAGTTTACATGAGAAAGACGTCTTACTTGGGTCTCGTAGATTTTTATTCCAAAGTGGTGAAAAAAGTTACCGTTTTTGTTGGAAATTTATACTAAAACGTTCAGCAGACTGAGTGCTTTTGTGTAGTGTAATTTAAACAATAAAATTTGGAATGAAAAGGGGTGAAAACATTGTACTGTGACATTTAAAATAAATCGCTTGTTACAACTAATGTACTGTCAGTGTAGTGGATAATGCTTACGCTCTGATCCGGGAAGACCCAAGATCGAATCACAAGGAAGACTTTTCTTTCTTTTTCTTCTTTTATACAGAAGAGACCGGGAAAGTACGGGGTTTCATGAGAATAAGTATGGGGGAGGAGTCTTAGTTACGGTACTAAAAACTATCAAATCGGTTCGGAAGTTTGAATGGGAAAGTAAATGTGAAGACATTTGGCTGGTTTTGGATTTGAAAATTGAAAACTCTGTCCATCAAGTAGCTCTCTGCGGTGTTTACATTATACGTACCGCCTTCGGTGAACAGGTTAACGTTGGAGTATTTTGTAGAAAATTGTAGCTCAGACATAACAAGATAATTTGATTCACACCTGTGCTTTATTGGTGAATTTAACTTAGGTAATAATAATAATATAAATTGGAGTTTGATACATGATTTGTCAAATAACTATGTTGCACCTATACCAAGCCAAGTACTGACAGATTTTCATTCAGACATTCTTAACAAATCAGACCACTTGTTAGACCTTGTACTAACCAACCTATCATAATCCATGTGTACGATAGCAGGATCAGTTGATATTCTTAGTGTCGTACATCTTCTACATCCACTTCTTGAAATATTAATGAAAATAAATACTGATATTGCAGTACCGTATAACATCGAAACTGAAATACACAATTTTAGGAAAGCCGATTATACTCAGATCCGCCTTTGATTAGCCGAATACGATTGGAATTAATTGTTTCATAACATGAATGTTAATGAAATGACAAACTTATTTTATGATATAATTAATAATTTAATAAAGAAATATGTGCCCTACAAAAAATAAGAAATAATTCTTCTCCTCCTTGGTTTAATGTTTCATTAAAGAGAATGTTACGTGAAAAGGAGAACATAAGAAAGCGGTATAAAAAATATAGCAATCCCGTGGACGAGGTTGAGCTGCGGCTACTCAGTAAACGTTGCTGCACACTAGCAAATCAATCTTATAAAAATTATATAAAGAAGACAGAAGATAGTATCAAGTCGAACCCTAAAGTTTTTTGGTCATAGACCCTAGACCATAACAAGAGCTCAGGACCAGATTGTGTCCCTCCTTTTTTCATTAAGGCATGTGCAGACGAGCTAGTGACGCCTCATCATCATCATCATTACAGCCTTTCACAAGTCCTCTGCTGAACATAGGCCTCCCCCAAGGAATGCCACAAAGCACAATTCTGAGCCACCTGAATCCATCAACTTCCTGTATGTCTTACTAGGTTGTCACTCCATCTAGTGGGGGGACGCCCTACACTTCGCCTGCCGGTACGAGGCTGCCATTCGAGAACCTTTTTTCTCCATCGGTTATCGGTTCTTCGAGCCATATGGCCGGCTCATTGCCACTTCAGCTTACTAATCCGTTGGGCTATGTCGGTTACTCTGGTTCTACTGCGGATATCCTCATTCCTAAGTTTCTCACGCAGAGGAACTCCGAGCATAGACCTCTCCATGGTTCGCTGAGGGACTTTGAGCTTCCTCATACTGTCAGATGTGTAGGACCACGTCTCAGATCCATAGGTCATCACTGGCAACACGCACTGGTTGTACAATCGAGTTTTAAGATTTTGAGGTATGCCTGACGAGAAGATTGTGCCGCAATCTCCCGAACGCTGTTCAGCCGAGTTGAATCCGTCGATTGACCTCTCGGTCAAGGTTGGACTTACCTAGTCGGACTACTTGTCCCAGGTAAACATATTCGTCAACAACTTCGAGGTTAGGGAGCACCCCAACAACCACTGGCATAGGTGTGACATGGACATTACACATGAATTTCGTTTTGTCCATGTTCATCTTAAAACCTATCGGTTGGGAGACACTATTGAGGTCATTGAGAATAGTGCGTAGGTCCTCCAGCGATTCTGCCATAAGGACTATATCGTCGGCAAATCGAAGGTGAGTGATGTACTCGCCATTGATGTCAATACCGTATCCTTTCCAGTCCAGTAGCTTGAAAACGTCTTCCAATGCAGCGGTGAAGAGTTTCGGGGATATAACGTCACCCTGTCTTACACGTCTCTGCAGTTGGATAGGTTTCGTACTCTGGTTTTGTACTCGGATAGCCATCGTAGCCCTACTGTACAAACACTTCAGCACTTCGATATGCCGATATTGGCACCGCTGAAGAGACTGCAGCATCGCCCAAATTTCGACGGAATCAAAGGATTTATCATAGTCTTCTCTATCCTGTGCTGCAGAACCACTTGAATCATAATTTAAGTCAACCTGTACCAATCTGACCTTGTTTACCGAAATTTTGGTAGAAGCAGTAGATGACGGTAGGGATGTTGATGTAATATACGAGTATAATAATAATAATATAATAATAATATTCTTATATCTAAATTGCGTGCATATGGTATTACTGGCTCATTATTGGGATGGTTGCAATTGTATCTGGATAATCATAGTTTTAGCGTGGTCGTTAGTGGTTTTCAGTCCGCACCATAAAAATTGACCGTATGGTAAATTGGTGTCAAGACAATGGTATAAACCTGAACATAAACAAATGCTATCATATGAAATTCAGTAGAAAGATCAAGTCACTGAACTCATCATACAAAATTAACGGCGACATCATGAAAAAAACAGAGGAAGTTAGAGACCTGAGAATAGTGTTCGATGAAAAATTTACCTTCGTTCTCCACATGGAAAATATTACAAGAAGGGCATATTGAATGCTAGGTTTTGTTTTGCGTAACGCCAAAAGTGTTTAAAAATATTCACATTAATATCCTATTGTCATATTAATAAAAATTGCTTATTCAAAAAATAGAAATAAAAACCCGGCAACGCGTCTTCAATTACCACCGTCTTACAGATATTTATGGATGGCGGTAATCATTCAGGTAAACCACATACTCTTTGTATAGTTCGTACAAAATATGTCGTTCTTGGCACAATACCACGAGGAGTAGGACTGTATAATAATTTAAGATTTCATTTTTAGTTTTTCTCTGTCTTCATGTTTTCCTATTTCAATGTTTCAGTATATGTCCGTAATAAGCCGCCATGTTAGTTTTATGTGACTTCATGTAGCTTAAAACCCGCGACAGGACACAATGCTTTTAAAAATATCTAAATTTGTCAATATAAGATGAGTAGTTGAGAGTCATTTGAAGAAACACATGAACATACATATATACATAGCCTTCTAAAATTGTAACCAATTTTGCTGCGCCGTAGTTGGGTAAAAATATTCACTTACGCATCATCTGTGTCAAATGAGACGTGGTCCTGCTTAGTCCTTAGGTGTGACAGTGCATCTGCATTTTGATTCCTAATGGAGGATAGGTGGTAGATAGGTGCATTAGGTCGCAGCGCCCACTCACTATCAGGTAGATTGTGTGCTCTTTCGTTACGTTTATTCTATAAAAATATTAAAAATCAGTCTCTGCACGTGTACGTATTATAAATTGACAATCGAAATCCATACATTAAACGAACATTTTCAAAGTTAATAGTTGAAAAAAATTGCACCAAATTTGAATTAAATTTTATGTTTCTTCTACTATACATAAGATTATTTTTACTTAATATTTATTTTATTTTTTATATTTTGGATCAAAGTATTATGTGAGCTCAAAAAAACTGGAATGCAGTAGTATTTTCCTGATAATGTAAAACCAAAGTTATCTGAAAGAAATTGCAGCATAGAAGCAATACTGCCTTTTGCTTTCTTTGTGTTTGTATATTTTATTTAGTTGTTTAAAAAGAATATTGTATTGTATGGTACATGCATCACATGGATAGTCTCTAACAATGGAATTACCTATTGGAGGGTACATTTTTATTTACAAAAATCTTATACTAAAGTGAACATGGTTTGAGTAAAGACAAATATTTCATGCTTATATTTATCAACAAGCATGATATTTGTCACATTTGTGGAAAATTAATTACCACTCAAAGTTAATATAACATAAAATTGTTATTTATATACGGTAAACATGTTTTAAACAAAACATTTACCGGTACACGGTAAAGTTTCTATAAACTTATGATTGTACCGTAACGTAATGTGTAAATAATGAATGTAATAATATATTAAATAAATAAATAAAATAAAATAAAATGTAGAACAGTGAAATTATAATAAACTATTTAGAGCCTATTTTTCTGACATAGGTAAATTAAAAGAGCCGTGTAGCTTATTATCTCAATTTCGAAGAGTCTAGGCTGTCAAGTAAAATTTTGCATCTCTGATTCTAGTTGTCCTCTTGTACTGACATGCTTTAATCTCTCACGGACAGATTCTAGATCTGCAGAATCAGCTTTTTGAATTTTCATATATTTTAACATCATCTCAACAACTAAGCATATTTCACTGATGAGCTGCCTCGTTTCTTCATAATTATCTGCACCACTTGGACGCATTTGAATCAGTTTTAATTTGCTTTGTGCTAACTGAATTGGATTACGGCCATTCTTATCATTAGAACTAACATCTGTTCCTGCATCCAACAACTGGTATATGATTTGTACAAGCAGCAAGATGCAGAGGAGTGTTCCCGAGGGTATCCTTTATATTTTGGTTAGCTCCATGACTTAAAAGTATTCTTACGACATCAACATATCCACGGCATGCTGCTAAATACAGTGGACTTCTTTTATGTTCATCAGATGAATCGGGGTCAACGCCAGATAGAAGGAGTTTTTCTACAAGTTCGGAGTTATTTGTAGATGCAACGAAACGTAGCTTCTGATTTCTTGATGAGCAAATTGAACCACCATATCGGTATTTAATTCTGCAATGTCTAGTCTTGGTAGTGCATTTTATTTTACCGATTAAATCGTGACGTTCGCCGAAAAAGTCCTTTGCTATCTACCGTCTACTTCCCGACACATCAAGTGAATTGGCCAATGGATTGAATTCTATAATGCATGGAGTGTGATCTATGTTTTGATTATCACTACTTTCATTACTGGTGTCAACTTCGGAGTCTGCCATTATACATAAATTCCGAACTTATCCGTTTAAAGATCTCATTTTTATATAAACACGTATGGTTATCAATTAGGAGTGATCATGAAATTGCATGAAATGAAAACAACAATGGTATATAATGTTGAAAATAAGACGTCTAAAGTCTTGCACTTATTTTGTTGCTATGTTGTTATTCAGTTGTAATTTTAGACAATTTTGTGTATGTGCGCAGCATTCGGTGGACGCAGCAGTGTAGGCGTCCCGGAAACTTTGCACGTGGAGTGGTTCGGACGAGCGCGAGTTCACCAGCGTAAAGGTTTTGCACCAGCATTGTTGTTGTTGGGAGGACCCGAACTTCTGTTCTACCTCTTTGCTAGGGTGAGTTACTTTTCATGTTTTCCTACCCTCAGTTTTATTTCACGAAACATTATCTATGAGTAATTAATTGAGCATTTTAAAAAATATTACAATTGTTGTTTTCAAATATTTCATTGAAATGGTTTGTGATTTCTATTTTATTGCTGAATCTTAATTAATTTATAAGTATTATTGCAATACCTTTATTACTTTATTAAAAGTGTATACACTATACAGTCGTTGGTTTTAGATGTTGTATGGAAACGTAGTCTTAATTTTAAAGCTTTTATTTGGTTTTGTGTTAGCGACATAAGTTTATAATAAATAAACACAGATATGAAAAAAAAATTTGTATTTGTACAAATTTTGGTTTCGACTACAGTTTAAGTATATCAAGTCTATTGTTGAACATAGGCTTTCCCCATAAATTGCTTTATAGTGGGGGTAGGAGGTGGCATTTGCCATCGTTACTACGCTTGGCGGACGGGTTGGCAATCGTAGTATTGTATTTTCTGATTGTGATTGGGAAGATGCTGCTATTTATCGGTACGTTTCCCTTTGTCGCGTAAGAGAGATTGGGGATATTTTTACACCGCTATAACAACACGGTCAAATGTTGGCTTGAACTAATTAGAGTAAGAGATGATATAAGGAATCAAATCAGAAGATAGATAGTAGTATCTCCCTAATAACGACTAAAAATAAAAAAAATACCTCCGTTGCCAATCTGTCCGTCAGCGTGGCAGCCATGGCAAATATCCCCCTTTTGAGACAATCTATGGGTGAGCTCTATGTTCAGCAGTGGAGTTTAACAGGCTGTAACGATAACGGCGGTCCGTTACCGTTAAGGTCAAAATGAGTTAAGGGTAGTTGAGATGTAGCTTAGTCCATCGAGCCGGATAGTGGTACCTTGGTCCCTCTAGCTGGATGGTGTGAGCAGGTGGTGGAGTTGAATGGCGACGCGAGCTTGCAAGCCGGTGCGCTGCGAGTGGCGCTGCGGGCGGGGCGCGGCGATGCGCGCGTTCGCGCTGCGCTGCTGCGGCCGCGCACGCTGCGCCTTCTGCTGCCCGTTCTCGCCTCACCGCGCTGCCGCGTCTCCGCGCAGCTGCTGCAGGTGTGCGCCGCCAGACACACGCACATCCACACGCACTCCACCCGACTTATACTCCTTTTTATCATTACATGTTCGCTTGTCTGGTAAACTAATCAGTTAATTTATACACACGTAAAAATGTATGTTTTCCCGACAAAACCTAATATGCTTTAAAACTATTTTTTATAACACGTAAATACATATACACATTTGTTTATATAACTTAATAAATACAACAAATTAAAATAAAATATACCAAGCTACGCACGATAACGCCTCACATGAATAAAATAACATAACACGTACATACGAACGACATTGCTTCACATCACTACACTTCATGATCAAAAACTCCCCTTGTTGCCTCAACCAGTATCGGAATCCTCGGCGTCGACATATCGAGTGACGTGCAGTTTCGTGGTCACTTGGAAGAGAATGTCAAATTGGCCTCTAAAAAAGCTTGCTGTGCTCAGCAGAACGGGACAGTATTTCATGCCGGCTCACCGTCTGCAACTTTACAAGGCGCAACAGGTTCGTCAGCACATGAAATACTGTTCACATCTCTGAGCTGAGGCTCCCCAGTGCTAGCTCCTTCCACTTGACCGCATCCAGCGCAGAGCGGCTCGAATCGTCGACGACCGAGTGCTTTCCGGCCGGCTCGATTCACTGGCGCTGCGAAGAGATGTTGCATCTCTTTGCGCATTTTCTCGCATTTATCACGGGGAGTGCTCTTAGGAATTGTTCGGATTAATCCCAGCTGCCAAATTTCATGAACGCACTACGCGGCAAACCTCCCGATACCAGCCACACTATCTGGATGCTTGGCGGTCCACCACTGTACGTTTTACTAGGAGTTTTCTCCCGCGTTCGACCTCTCTGTGGAATAGTTTACCATCGGCGATTTTTCCGGACCGATACTACCTGGGGACCTTCAAGAAAAGAGCTTACTCCTTTCTAAAGGGCAGGCAACGCACCTGTAATTCCCCTGGTGTTGCGGTTGTTCATGGGCGGCGGTAGTCACTTAACATCAGGTGAACCGTGTGCTCGTTTCCCCCCTCTTCTATAAAAAAAGTTCAGGTTAGTAAATTTATATCTATTAACTCGGCTCAAACGATACAAGACTCGATGATCCCGGAAATCGAAAATGTTATTGAAATATTTTATGTTTTTTAACTATTTTACATGCACATCCAGACTTTAAATAATTAACTTAAAAGCAGCATTTTATCCGGTATTCAGAAATCTCGAGGCTTGAACTCAATTTTTTTTACTGTGGGGTGTGTATAGCGAGTGGGTTCTGAGGCAGGTGATTCTGGAGGCGGCGTGCAGCAGCTCTCCGCTGGTGGTGAGCGGCGGCGCGGTGCGGCTGCGGGCGCGCGCCCACTGCGCGCTGCTGGAGCCGCGCCCGCTGCTGCTGCTGCTGCGCGCCTGGCCGCACCTGCACGACGTGCCGGTACGTGCGCGTGCCGTGCGTTATATCCGGAATATAGTACTCATAGTTGTATCTGACTAGTACGCTTATGCTTAACCGCGTACTGAAGGTGTGAGAATACCCACTACCCCATATCGTCACAGGGTGTCGTATTATCGTAAGAGACATTTGGCAACTAAAACAGAACGTGGACAGCAGCATGTTCCTGAAAACAACTTGAAATAATAAAGGCTACGGTTGCCGAGCCGGTGGCAAAGCGTGCCACTTGTACCAAAACCTCCTCGCTATGAGACAATCTATAGCGGAGTGCTGTGCTTAGCGGTGGACCTTTATAGGCAATTTTACAATGCCGATAAATCTGGTGTTGTCTTAAATATTTAAAGTAAAGTGGCTGTGACACCACAAGACTTAACCGCGGCCGCTAGTCGGGGAACTCTTTATTCTAAGAATGTTGCGGATGATGTTAGCTGAGTTCTCACGGAACCTACACCAGACCCGGTTCTGCATCCATACGTTGTGGCGGATGGCCATATATAACCATTTCACTGTCCTATCATGGGTCAATACAATACTTACACCAAGAAAAGATAAAAATTACAAAAAAAAAAAAACAAATATAGAGAGATAAAATGCCGTATTATTGATACTTAACAATCTCTTTCAGACAACCCAAAACAAGAAATTAATAAAAAATAAGAAAAAGAATAATGAAGAAGATTCAAATATAAAAGTTTCAATTGTTAAACTATTGTGACTTTTTGGCCGACAGGAAAATAGTTAAATTAATTAAAGTGTTTCATGTTAGCAGTAATAAAAATTATTTTTCAAAAAGTATATTTTCCATTGCGATATAACAAAGCGTGTGTGTGTGCGTATGTCAAAATTTGATCATGTTATTCAATATTTACTTAATTGACTTCCTACTTATTATAAGTCAGTGTTAGACCACAGTTCCACCCGGTGATAAGTTGCGATGCAGCCCTGGATGGTAAATCACATTGTCTTAGCGTCGGCGTGAAGTCCTATTCACGTTTTTCTTAAAGATGACTTATTGTTAGCAGGCTGAAAGAAAGGCATCATCATATTATTTATTTTATGTTTTTAGTATTATAGTAACTATTCATTATTTTATTTATTTTATTTTAGTTTATTTAATTTCGAGAGGAAAAGGATTAGGAAAAGTTTAGTAGTAAATTAGTAGTGTCATAAATATAAACTAATAGTACATATGGTTTTAGAATTAAATTTCCAGAAGAACTTGTGAAGCAAACAAAATTATCAGGAGCTATGTTTTTTTTTTGCATTTTGATAGTAGTGAGTAATTATTAACTAAATGAAAAAATAGTTGTGTTATATGTTTTGTTTGATATTTGAAAGAGATAAAGCGTAAAATGTTGAAGTACAGAGACGAGTGTCTAAGATGCAGGTGTCGTGGGAAGAGGAGGGCGCTAGCGTTGGTGCCGGTGGCGGTGTGCAGCAGGGGTCGGTGTGGGGGCTGGCGCTGCGCTGTTGCTGCGCGCTGCTGGACGGGCCGCATCGTGCCTTCAACCAGCAGCAGGCGAATCGCGCTGCGCTGCTGCGGCACTTGCTGCTCGCTTGCAAGGTCACCCATTATCTCTCTCCCGCGCTCTTAATATGCTTTATTCAAAAGCGCCATACAGTCAAACTATCAAACCATTGAAGCAATATATACTACGCACTAGGCTTGGAGACTTGGTCATTTGCAATATGTGTTAGAGCCCGCGGGCTTAAACTTATTTAGTTTATGCCATGCAACATCACTCACGCTCTCTCTAACCCGCGCTCTCGATTTGCTTTATTCAAAAGCGGCACACAAACAAATTATCAAACCATTGAAGTAATACGCAATGAACTCCCGTCTGATTTCGGTCATGGCAGCCAGTCTCAACGGAGATTAGCCATCTGCGCAAGTCCAAACTATAAGTGCCCGAGTGTATGCGCAAGTGGAAATGCACTTTCTATTCATAGTCCAATGTTACAGCAATCCAACACGACCGGAGGGAGATCAGGCGCAGGACTAGCGCAGACACGGATCAGCAGCCGTTTAGACTAACAAGACAGTCATAAATACAGGAAGCAATATGTACTACGTACTAAAGGGTTTTTCATTTTGGCGGTCCGTGGCGGCCATTTTATTTTGTTGACATCTATCAAATCTTTTGTTTACTATTCAGTTACTTATGCCAAATCTCCATGGCAACTTACACGATTAAACAGCACGTTCAAATGGTGAAACTTTATTATTAAAATTAGTGTTCGTTAGTGCAAACGCTGCGCGCATTGCGTGCATTTTACGGTAGACGTGGTGGCCCTCCACAATCGACTCTTTAAACGTTTGGTAGTCAAACTTGAAACGACCGGTTCGGTAAACAATCAGCCAACACCCTTACTTTCAAGGAACGTAAGATCGTCGAAAACATCGTAGCGATTCGTGAAAGTGTACAGCAGAGCACGAGGCAGCCGGTTCCTCGCCGTGCTCGAGAATTAGACCTTTTGCAGACTTCAACTTGGCGAATTTCGCGTCGGTACTTAGGCCTACAGCCGTACAAGATTCATCTGACCCAAGAGCTCAAAGGTCATGACTTAGGCAACGCCGTTTGTTCGCTGACTGAGCTTCAAATCGTTTGGAAGAGGACCCCAATTTTGGCTGAAAAATAATCTTTAGCGACGAGGCCCATATTTGGATGAATAGTTGCGATAACAAGCAGAATTTCCATATATGGGACGACACCAACTCACACGAGGTTCACCAGATGATGAAGCATTATCAAAAAATTACCGTTTGTTGTGAATTTTGGGCCGGAGGCGTCATTGGTCCGTACTTTTTAGAAAACGACGCTGGTGAGGCGGTCACCGTTAGCGGCGAGTGCTACAGAACGATGATAACCAATTTCTTATGGCCCAAATTGAACCGTATGGACCTAGACGACACGTGGTTCCAGCAGGACGGCGCTATTTGTCACACAGCGGGCGCGACAATTAACATTCTCTATGAGCTGTTTGAGGGTAAGCTTATCTCTCGTAGGGGTGACGTTAATTGGCCACCAAGCTCCGATTGCAAGCCTATTAATGCTGATGTTCCACAAGGCTGCGTGCTATCGCCAACGCTGTTTCTTCTGCATATCAATGATATGTTGCAAACCCGTAACATTCATTGCTATACAGATGACAGCACTGGTGATGCTCTTTACACCGGCCGAGCCAATATTTCTCGGGAAAACGTCTCCGAGTGCCGGGACAAACTTGTGTCTGAAGTCGAGTCTTTGCTGAACAGAGTCTCGGATTGAGGGCGACTAAATCTAGTCCAGTTTAACCCCCAGAAGACACAAGTTTGCGTGTTAACCGCTAAAAAAGAACCCCTTTGTCGTATGTCCTCAGTTTCAAGGCACTCTCCTTGTTGCCTCAGCCAGTATCGGTATCCTCGGCGTCGACATATCGAGTGACGTGCAGTTTCGTGGTCACTTGGAAGAGAAGGCCAAATTGGCCTCTAATAAGCTTGGCGTGTTCAGCAGAGCGGGACAATATTTCATACCGGCACACCCCCTGCAACTTTACAAGGTGTAGGTTTGGCCGCATATGGAATACTGTTCCCGTCTCTGGGCTGGGGCTCCCCAGTACCAGCTCCTTCCACTTGACCGCATCCAGCGCAGAGCGGCTCGAATTGTCGAGGACCGAGTGCTTTCCGATCGGCTCGATTCACTGGCACTGCGAAGAGATGTTGCATCTCTTTGCATTTTCTTTTGCATATACCATGGAGAGTGCTCTGAGGAATTGTTCGGATTAATCCCAGCCGCCAAATTTCGTGAACGCACTACGCGGCATACGTCCCGATACCATCCACATCATCTGGATGCTTGGCGGTCCACCACTGTACGTTTCAAGAGGAGTTTTCTTCCGCGTACAACCTCTCTGTGGAATAGTTTACCATCAGCGATTTTCCCCGACCGATACGACCTGGGGACCTTCAAGAAAAGAGCGTACTCCTTTCTAAAGGGCCGGCAACGCACCTGCAATTCCCCTGGTGTTGCGGTTAATCATGGGCGGCGGTAGTCACTTAACATCAGGTGAGCCGCATGCTCGTTTGCCCACTCTTCTATAAAAAAAAACCAAGGTCATGCGGTTTGATATCAGTAAACTTTTTCTTTTTTGAAGGGGTTTTTTGAAGTCGCAGGTCTATGTAAATAAACTACAATAGACCGATACCCTAAACGTAAACATATCACAGGCTATCGCTCAAGTTAAACCGGATCTGTGAAGTCATTGAAAGTTGGACCACTTGGATCCGTGCCACTGTAAGAAGCAAATACGGCCGTTTGAACAACGTTATATTACACACTTAAAATGGCACATGTTTGTCTTGAATGTGTGTAAGGTATAAACAAAAGCGATGAATTTTGTTTATACTTTACACACAGTTTGTTTTATTTCATTCCAGCATTTACCCGCTCTTATTGAAAAACCCTTCAAAAGAGACGACGAAACTTTATCTTTTTTGCTTGTTCTTTTCACGACAGTGTTTTTTCCGAACCAGAGGTAAAGCAAATATCTTTCAATAAGTATTCTTGTAATCGATATTGAATAAAAGTGATTCTATTCTATTCTATGACGTCTCACCAATTAAGGTTAATATTATTTTGCTCACCAGATGTCGCTAGTTGTATATCGCCATTTTTATCCATAAACTTTCGCCCGTAGTTAATGTTAATGCGTAGATAATGATGTGTAAAGTGGTGTGTGTTGCTGCTGCAGGAGCGGTTCCTGAACTCGGACAGCGGGCCGCTGGGCGCGGCGGCCAGCAGCAGCTTGGTGCAGCTGGCGCGGGCGTTGCTGGGATCGCCGCCGCTTCTGCAGCACCTCGCGCTGCTTGCAGACTTCCTGCTGCTCATGCATCAGGTCATTCCTGCTGACATCCTGCCTTTTTGTATAAAAGGTGCCAAACGAGCCGCCGTTTATGAACAACTGTAATACCAGGGGAGTTGCAGATTCGTTGATGGCTTTTTAAAAAAGGAGTAAGCTCGTTTCTTGAAGTTCCCTCAGTTATATGTCCACAAGGAACTCGTGCGAGGCAGAAAACTCCTTGTGAACCGCACAGGCAGGCTGAAAGGGTAAATATGTGATACCGCACACGAAACTACAATGGAAAGAGAACTGGGCAATATTTAACTCCGCTAATATTTGATAGAATAGATTTTATAAGAGATATTATGTCCAAAGACATGAACACTGTAACATCAAAGAAAAGACTAAAAGATATATTCCGCAGAAAAGTATAATGTGTTACCCACAATAAGTTTATTAAATAAATATATATTGTAATATAATATACTGCAAATAAGTATATAAGTAACATGAAACATATATAAATGTAAAAGAAAAGAGCGCCAACAAACTGTTGCACAGTTTGCGATAATTATTATTGCTGTAAATGTGTGTGTTTTATATGAATAAGGCTATTTAAAAAAAACAGTAGTGAACCGCCAAGCAACCAAATGATGTAGATAACATAGTAACGTGAGTTTTGTCACGCCTTCCTAGATAGGCAATTTAGAACAAAAACATATATAGTCATAATATGTACTACGTACGAGAACCGACAACAAGACCTGTTTGTTTGCAACACGTGTTACAGTCCAAGGGCTCCAACTCACTTAGTCTCTGCCATGCGCTTGCTCAGGGAAACACGATTAAGGACTAAGTTAAAGTCTGCTCGAAGTCTAATCAAAAAATAAATAAAGGCCAGGAGCATACTTTTCACGCATAACTTTGCTGTACTAATGACCTATAATTACTTTCAGTTTACAGTAAATTCATCCAGCAATTGCAACCTATGAAAGTTCACTGCTCAACATAGGCCTCCCCCACAGACTGCCTTATAGGAAGACGTTGCCATAGCTGCCACGCTTGGCGGGTTGAGGGTTGTCGTGTTTTTTTAAATAATTTTGAGTTGTCAACAGGAAAGTGCTGCGGTTTCAGTGCGATATTCTTACACTGCCACTATGCGGTACTTTTTTTAATAGTGGAGATGAACTGTCCACTATTAACAGACTCCGAGTGGTTTTCTTCAAGGTGGAGAAATGAAACTACTGTTTATGTTTATGAATGTACTGTCGAATGGGATTCGGAATGGAATATATTTTGCATCAACCTTGCCTATATTTATATGGCTGGCTCACTATTGATTTGCCAATGGTAACAATTAATATTTTGCCTAGCCAATTATATTGCTTATTTTATGACCAATGAAAACTATTTAAAATATACAATTATCTACGTTTCGTTTCCCGGCGTGAGACTTGTTTGTTGTTCACGAAGCTACGTCGCTGGACCGGGCTATATAAGACATGCATATCGGTGAGCACGCGTAGTCGGCGGGCGGCGGCGGTGTGGAATACAGCTCCGGAACAGCAAGAGGAAACGAACTGCGGCGTTGAAGAAACGGCTCACCATTGGTCGACGGATACGTGACGATAGCGGCGTGTGAAGTCGGTGTGGCGCTGAATGATATTTGCGGCTGCTTCTTGTTTCTTTATAAGAACGTCAAATTATCTATATACAGTCCGCAGTATCTCAGTAGCCAAGAATAATTAGGAAATAAAATGTTTTTTTTATTTATTCTCGCCTTCCGCGTTATGGTAGCAGCGGAGTATATCTTATTTATTCCCGTTTAGGTTTGATTAATCTGGCTGCTACATCACTCTCCCCCCAGCGAAAGCGTACCGGAGGCTTGACGACTCGCCCGTATTTCGTAGTTTTTAAAATAGGTTTCAACTGGGTTGATGTAGATGATGAATTTTCAAGCTTCCTCGCTGGTGGTTTTGATGATGATGATGAATCCTCTGCAGTATCCTCGTTAATAATATAGGCAGGTTTTAGTCGGTCGATCGATATAATCGTAGATTTCCTTCCGGGTATTTGTAGTTTAAAAGTCTTGCTATTTCTCTCTAATACTTTATACGGTCCATCGTAGGTAGGTTGAAATTGTTTTTTCATTGCGTCGTTTCTTACAAAAACTTGTTTGCATGTTTTCAAATCTTGGTGAATGAATACTGATTTATTATTTCTGTGTGATTGCATTTCGGTGCATTTCAACGATAAGGCTTTATTAATTGATTCTCGAAGTTTAGTTACGAAATCGTAATCCATTTCTTGTTTGTTTGACGCTGCTGAACTGAAGAAGTCACACGGCAGCCTTATGCTGCAGCCGTAGGTTAGCTGAGCGGCGCTAAGACTAGTGTCTGCACGCGGTGTTGCTCGTAGTCCGAGTAGCACTGTAGGTAGCTCATCAATCCACTTTATATGTTGAGATAAACGAGTTTTGAGTGCAGTCTTTAATGTACGATGCCATCGTTCGATTATTCCGTTTGACTGAGGATGGTATGCTGTTGTACGCGTCTTCTGTATTCCCATAGTTTGAAGAAGTTTGAGGAATAGGTTGCTTTCGAAATTCCTTCCTTGATCCGTTGTGATGGTTTTAGGTGATCCGAAACGAGTAATCCAATTTTCATAAATTATCTTCGCGACGGATTCGGCTGAAGTATCATCGGTAGGTATTGCTTCTGGCCATCTTGTTGTTCTGTCGATCATTGTTACGAGATAACGATGTCCTTGCGGTGAAGTAGGTAATGGTCCAACGATGTCAACGTGCAAGTGTTCGAATCTCTCTGTGGGTGGAAATGTAGCTAGACTACTTGATGTATGCCTTTGTACTTTGCATTTTTGGCATTGAATGCATTGCTTCGCCCAGTTGCCAACATCCGCTTGCATTGCAGGCCAAAAGAATTTTTCAGTGATGAGTTTTCTTGTTGTTCTAACACCTGGATGACTAATGTTGTGCAGTGCATTGAAGACTTCGCGACGACATTCTTCTGGTATGTATGGTCGCATGGTTGTCGTTGAGGCTTCACAGTATATAGGTAGATGCGTCATTGGCATTGTAACTTGCTTGATGGACAAGTTACCTTGCTTCGATAGATGTTTTATGTTGTCACTATCTCTGTCTTGTGCTGCGGCGATCTTATGATAGTCGATTGATGTAGGGCACGTTACACTGTCGATTGGTACGCGACTGAGTGCGTCGGCAACTATGTTGTCCTTTCCACTGATGTGACGTATGTCGGTCGTGAATTCACTTATGAAAATAAGTTGTCTTGCTCTTCGTGGTGTTTCCGATAGTGATGGTTTCTTTGGAAGTACATATGTTAATGGTTTGTGGTCGGTAAAAACGATCAGGTTTCGACCCTCGAACGTTTTTCTGAAGTGCTTGATAGCCATGTAAATAGCGAGTAGCTCTCGGTCGAATGTACTGTAGTTACGTTGAGTATCGGAGAACTTCTTCGAAAAATATCCAAGTGGTTGCCATTTCCCATTGCTGTATTGTTGGAGAACTGCTCCTGCTGAGAGATCGGATGCGTCGCTGAAGATAGCAAGGGTTGCTTCGTGTGATGGGTGAGCGAGTAAAGCTGCATTTTGGATCGCAATTTTACAAGCTTCAAATGCCTTCGTGGCTTCATCGTTCCATTCGATTGACGTTTTATCTTTTTTCTTCGTGTTGTGAAGGTAGGCGTGAAGTGGTGCTTGGATTTCAGCGGCTTTAGGTATGTGTTCTCTGTAAAAATTTATCATCCCAAGAAAACGCCTTAGCTCTTCGATAGTTTTAGGTTTTGCATAATCGATGATTGCTCTGACTTTTTCGGCAGGCGGTTTTATTCCTTCCTTGCTGACGGTGAAACCAAGAAATTGAACTTCTTGCTGTCCAAATATGCATTTCGAAGGGTTGATTGTGATTCCGTTGTCTTCTAATCGCTGTAGCACGGTGCGTAGATGGGTTTCGTGCGTTTCTTTATCAGGGCTTGCAACAAGGAGATCATCAATAAATGCGAAAACGAAATCCAGTCCATGAAGTACTTCGTGTATGAATCTTTGGAAAGTTTGACCTCCGTTCTTTAATCCTGGGATCATTCTTGGGAATTCGAATAATCCCATTGGGGTAATTATTGCTGTCTTCTCTATGTCTTCATCGCGGACTCTTATTTGTTGGTAAGCTCGGTTGAGATCGATGGTGGAGAATATAGTCTTGTCTGATAGTTGATGAGTGAAATCCCTGACTCGCGGTATTGGGTAGCGGTCAGGAGTGGTAATAGAATTCAGTCTTCTGTAATCTCCACAAACTCGTAATTCTCCGTTCTTCTTCGGTACAATGTGAAGTGGTGATGACCAAGGGCTTTTGCTTGGACGGCATATTCCTTGCTCAATCATGTTTTCGAATTCCTTTCGAACTTGCTCGTATAGGTGTGGTGCGATTGGACGTGCACGACAATGAAGTGGTGGTCCATTGGTGTCGATGAAATGCTCAACGTCGTTCTTCGGTGTTAATTTCATTGAAGTTATTCTTGTGATACCAGGGTATTCTTCGAGGATCTTGTGATACGGTTGCTGCACATCTATGCTTCTGATTGTGGGCAGATTGGTTGCTTGTACAAAAGACTGAGATGCAAGATTGGTTTTCCCGTCGATGATTCTTCTATTTTTGATGTCGACGACCAACTGGTGATATTGAAGAAAATCAGCACCGATGATTGGTTTGCTGACTTTAGCGACGATAAATCTCCATTTGAATGGTCGGCGTAGATTAAAATCAAGTTCCATTGTTTTTTCTCCATATGTAGGAATAACCGTATTGTTTGCTGCATAGAGTTGAAAATCTAGTGTCTTCAACTTCTGTCCTTGCTTCGGCGGTAACACTGAGATATTTGCTCCGGTGTCGATAAGGAAAGTAAGCTTGCTTTTTTTATCGGTGACGAAAAGACGGTAGGACTTTGCTGTTACGCTGGATCCCGTCGCATCGAGCGTACTAGTTAGTTTTCCGTATTCGTATTTTCATTTTTGAATGTACACGGTGCTGTGCATTTTCTTGCCTCGACCCCGAAACGTCGATGATAGTAGCAGTAAGGGGATCTTGATGTTGAGCTTATTCGACTTCTACTTGCAGAGCGGTTGCGACGAAAAGGTGATCTTCGGTGTTGCTAATTGCGCTGGTTGTACTGTTGCTGGTAAAAGGTATGATGCTGGGAAGCTTTGAGCGCGGCGACTTCGAATGATAGCTTCCGAATTTCTTCGAGAAGAAACTGGGTATCATTGGCCTTTGTTGAAGTGCCTTCGATGATCGATATGTGTGAGCTACTGCTGTTTTCGATCATCTTGTCCGCCAGGAGTGCCAGTTCGTCGAGCTTCGTCTGCGTGCTGAATGTTTCGCTGACAGCTATTACCGATCGAATATGTGGTGGTAGGTGGTTTACCCACATTAGCCGTAGTGTTGAATCCGGAACTTTATCTCGCGCCAAAGTACGCATTTTGCGTAGGAGTTGTGTGGGTTTCTGGTCTCCAAGTTCTATTTCTGATAGAAGTTTCTGTAGCTGTCGACTGTCGGATTCTTCATATGCGGAGATCAGACGATCCTTCAGTGAATTATACTGGTCGACTGCTGGTGGGTTGTACAACAGGTCCGCAATTTGTTCGATGTCTTGTTTCTCAAGTTGGGCTATCACCATCTGTGCTAATTGCGCTTGGCTCTTCTTTAAACCATTCGTTGCGGCTTCAAAACTGACGAACCAAAGTCGTGGTTTGTCTCTCCAAAACGGTGGTATTCTTAACGATAGAGATATACCGGCGATTTCTGGTTCCTTTACCGGGTTTGATGTATATGTGTTTGCCTCCTGCTCCATAATGACGGCTTGATTACACTGATTTTATATAAACTGAAGTCTTCCTTCTCGGTGTTCGTACGGGTTTCCTTCGCGGTGTTCGTGCAATAGTAGTGGTACGTCGCAGGGTGTTCCTTCTTGGTGTTCGTACCGGATCTTCCCCCCTCGGTGTTCGTACGGGGTCACCACTGTAATAGTGGAGACGAACTGTCCACTATTAACAGACTCCGAGTGGTTTTCTTCAAGGTGGAGAAATGAAACTACTGTTTATGTTTATGAATGTACTGTCGAATGGGATTCGGAATGGAATATATTTTGCATCAACCTTGCCTATATTTATATGGCTGGCTCACTATTGATTTGCCAATGGTAACAATTAATATTTTGCCTAGCCAATTATATTGCTTATTTTATGACCAATGAAAACTATTTAAAATATACAATTATCTACGTTTCGTTTCCCGGCGTGAGACTTGTTTGTTGTTCACGAAGCTACGTCGCTGGACCGGGCTATATAAGACATGCAGATCGGTGCGCACGCGTAGTCGGCGGGCGGCGGCGGTGTGGAATACAGCTCCGGAACAGCAAGAGGAAACGAACTGCGGCGTTGAAGAAACGGCTCACCATTGGTCGACGGATACGTGACGATAGCGGCGCGTGAAGTCGGTGTGGCGCTGAATGATATTTGCGGCTGCTTCTTGTTTCTTTATAAGAACGTCAAATTATCTATATACAGTCCGCAGTATCTCAGTAGCCAAGAATAATTAGGAAATAAAATGTTTTTTTTATTTATTCTCGCCTTCCGCGTTATGGTAGCAGCGGAGTATATCTTATTTATTCCCGTTTAGGTTTGATTAATCTGGCTGCTACACAGTAAATTTTATCCATATAGTAAACACCAGAACACTCAACCAATCGTAGATTCGCCTTCCAGGCAAGCGACACGTTCGTCACGCACTCTCGCGCCAACTTCTATTTTCTCCTTACCGCGGAGACACCAGAGGCGAGCGAATTCAACATCCTCACGTTCATGAACAAGCGCAAAAACAAGGAGTACAAGCTGAAGAGGGACTTCGAGAGCCTCACGCTCAACGATGCCACTGAAGATGCGGCGGATCTAAGCGACAGCAACCTCACACCGCTGAAGGATCTGTCTGCGAGCCGCGACACGGAGAACGACAGGACCGACGTGGAGAGTAGCACCGAGTCCACTAAGGAGATGAAGGGCATCATTAATCAACAAATCAAGGAGAGCAGGTAGTGGATATTGGTTATTTCAGAAATAGTATAATTTAATTAATTACAGGACTACAAGACTTCAAGACATAGTAAATTCATTATGCGTAGATGGGACCTAATGTAGTAATAAACAGCTAAAGGTATTTCGGGCTAACTCTGACATCGGGACGTCAATCACCTCAGTCCCCCGTGACCATGGGTGCTGGAAAGTACTCGAAACGTTGAGTTTTAAAATTAAGCAAATTAAACGCGATAAAATCCATAAAAGTATTTTTATTAAATGTGTAGTGTTCGCGTAAATATAAGAAATCATTATTTATAGGTTTTATAATATGTAACCACCATGGGATCTTTTTGGGAAGTGTTACATTTCTACAGAGAAACTGGGCAGGACTCAGGTTCTTTGGTCATTATCACACAATTAATTGTAAACTGGTATTTTTATAATGATTTTGAAGAAATTGTTGAGGCATTTTAAAAATTATGTAGGAAGTGCGATGAACAGTTTTTTTTATTTCATGGGAATCTAGAAGATTAAAATAAAAAGCGAAATGTGGCATTGCAATTTGTCTTAATAAAATATTGTATTATTGAATAAATATTCTACCGCATTATGTACCGGGTTGACTGAGGTAGTACCAAAATGCATTAAGTCCGCCCCCTGTAATCCTTTTTATCATAATCATAATTTATTTGCAGAAAACATGGTACATTACAAGTTGATAAATTATTTTTTGTCATAATTTTGACATACAAATATTTATATAATACATAAATTACATTTTCGCAACTAATATAATAAATAACATTTTTTTAAAATCATCATAATCATCTTATTACATTTAATTTAATTAAAATAATATAATTGTAATTACTTAGTTCATTTTAATATCGATGCCTAATCTTAATCATAAATTTTAAATATTCTTCAACAGAGTAGAAGCATTGCTCTTCAAGCCATTGTTTGACAATCCTGCGAAAACGTACTTTTAGGAGTGATTGAAACTCTGTAGGTAGTGCATTGAAAATTTTTATACACATAGCTGAACAATTTTTCCTATAGAATTATTAAGATATTTTATACGGTAAAATGTAAATAAATAAATAAGTACACTTATTAATATAAAAATATATTTATAAGGTGTTTTATTCAACTTAGAAAAGTTTTGGAAGTTTATTGTTTTAATTTTTCGCTACAGAACAGAAAATGGAACGGCAATTCAGAACAAAGAAGCTCCTGAGGGTGAGTTCAGTTGACTGACTTTTCAATTTTTCAACTAATGTTATTTATTACAAGTACACGTGTTTCGTTATTGAAGAATTATTCTATTATAAAAATCAAAATATAGAGAGCATTTATACGTGCCATGGATGGATATTCCTAAGAATAGAAAAATTAAGGGCTTAAAATATGCAAAAAAAAAATTAAAGAGCTAACCACTAAGACAATGTTTAGTGTATTAATATAATACTCTAGAAACCGTAAAATTTTTATTAAAAGCTAATTTCTAAATTAAATTATATAAAAAAACTTCATCTCAGTCCAACTAGCGACATCTGGTGAGTGGAAGATTAGTAGCCCTCATTACTCAGAGCCGTGGTAGCTAAGATGGTTAGCGCTCGCTGTAAATATCACAACCCGGGTTCGATCCCGCAGGCACCAATGAAATTGTTAATTGCAATTTTAAGTGCTCATTTAACACGTGCTCGAAGGTGAAGGAAAACATCGTGAGGAAACCTGAATATCTGAGAAATAAGAAAAAAATAATTCGAAGAAATGTAAAGTTCGCAAACACGCTTTAGGGCAGCGCGGCGTACTTCCTTGCCTTAAAACCCTCCTATAAATGAGGGGAGGCCTGTGCCCAGTAGTGGATAAGGCAGTAACTAACTCAGTACTTAAAATTGAAAAAGAAGTCGAGTTGTGCCAGCATAGATCGTAGTATGTTTGCTCGCGTACACTGTGATATTTAAATACGAGCATATAATTTCATCAATATACAGTTCGCAATTTGACATGTAGTGGCGACCTGAGGGAATTCACTACCATGCACCATTCCATGGTGGTCATGAGGCAACAGAGGAAAACTGAAGGAGATGGGCAGCAGCATTTTCCTGATTACAAGTCAAAATAATAGGAAACTCGATTGCAAATCGCCTACCAAGCGTGGCAACTATGACAATATACCCAATGATGCAATCTATGGAAGAGGTTGTCTCTATGTTTTAGCTGTGGACTTTGGATGGGCATGGATACATGAGTGAGGCATTCTTTTAATTACAGATAATGTTACCCTTAATGGCATGAACGTGAAACGTGTCACTAAATTTAACTTTCTTCAAGTACTTGTTTCTTCAAGGCTTCCGGCAAGTACTTGTAATACGGCAATTTCCGATCCACGAGACCGTATTTCAGAGCGAGCTCCTGGTGTAGAATTCTAGCTACTAGGTTGTGCCTGTGCAAGTACTCAGAGTTAGAAAGCGCCGAACAACCGGAGATAACATGCCTAAGTGACTCCCCGGGATGGCGACAAGCTCGACAGATGTCGACGGTGCCATCCTTTAGGATGTATCTCCGATAGTTGTTGGTCTTAATAACCTGATCCTGTATTGCACAGACAAAACCCTCGGTTTCCCCCGAAGAGATCACCGAAACGTAGCCAGTTGAGGGAGGCGACTGTATCTACGAAGGGCTCATGTAAAGCCCTGTAGTACCTCCCGTGGAGCTCCTTCTGCTTCCATACGGTCTCCCGGTCGGAAATGCTAAGCACTGCTGGGTCCTGCCATTGCTCGTTGGCTAAGGATAGAGGGGTAAGCCCTTTATCATTAGAAATGACGTCATTATAGAATGGATCATCCGATCTCGCCACGAAGTAATCACGGAGGCTGCACACTTCGCGATTATGCATGGTGAGCGCGCTCAGAAAGCCACGCCCACCATGCCTCGCGGCAAGTACAGCCTCATTACCGACGATCTCGGATGATGCATCCTATGGGACGTCATGGTAGTGCGGACTTTTCTATCCAGGGCGTTAAGTTCAGTCTGAGTCCACCTGAGTATGCCAAAGGTATACATGAGAACAGGCATGGCCCAACCGTTATATGCGTGTGTCTTATTCACACCGGACAAAAGGCTGTTGAGCACTTTGGTCAAGCGTGCATAAAACACGTCGCAAACTGACTGTTTCATACCAGCCTCATCGATACCGATGTTCTGTGACATGCCCAGGGATCGGTATGTTTCAGCCTCTGAAAGGGTCTTATTTTATTTTATTATTTATTATTATTATTTTTTGTACTACACATATGGACTTTAAATTATCTGAAATAAACAATTTTTATTTTATTTTATATTTATTTTATTATTCTATCTTAGTCCTCATGCGTGACAAGTTATCTACATATTGATTCTTACCCGAGGATAGATTTAGATGTCTGTGAGCCACAACATCCATCACCCATCACAGTTACCATCAGGTGGACTATGTGCTCGTTTGTTATCCTCATTCTATAAGGAAAAAAATTTAAAATTTCTACCATCAAAACCTGTCGAGTATTAAGCACAAAACTTTCATGAGATAAACTTATAGTGTTGTGTGCAGTAAGCGGTGCTGGTGGCGAGAGAGGGCAGAGCGCAGAAAGTACGGAGGTGCCGAACGGATACGTGGTGGTGGAGGAGGACGAGCTACGCCACACCACCGTCGAGCTCTACACCGGTGGCATCTACCACCAGGTCAGTACTGCTCCACACGCGTAGAGAACCGTCCACCAACGGGTAGGGAGAAATATCTGCTCTTTTCCACCCTTCTCGTTTTCTCTCCGTACTTCTTCTTCATATAAATTTAGCATTAACTTAAGTAACTGAAGGCTTAAAAGTTTATAAGGGCTGTAAGGGATTGTAATGTTGGGAGGTTCGGGGAATAATGATACGTCTAGTGGTCTTGAATGTAGATTTATTACTACGTGAATGTCTATTAGGCTATCATATATATAGCTACGTGAGCACACACTACACACACACTACACGCCCATCGGCAAGAAGAAAAAATATTGAATTACAATTTTTTTTTCAATAAAACAAAACTTGGTGTAAAAGATTCAAAAAAATTGATCATTATTTAAAAATATTAAAATTCCTATCCTATATCATATTTATAACATAATAAAATAAAAATAAAATATCGTAAACAATGTAATTTTAAAAACAAAATAACTTTTTTTGAATTTATTAAACAATCATCAAATGCTTTGCGTTATTGTATTGATTCCCTAAGTTTTTGTTTTAAAATACTTTTAATTCGCATATAAAACTGCATAACTTTCAAAATTTTCGTATGTAACTATTAATTCACTTGACATGAAAATTCAGTTTAAAAAAATAGTTATCAAAAACATTATAAATTGTATATAAGGCTGTTTACAATTTTATTATTTTTTTAAACTTAAACTAAATTTTTATTTATCTTAATAAAGCTTAAAGGTGAAAAAGTCATTATGATTAAAATATTATCCTTATTTTTAAGTAGATAAGCTTCAACATACTTATTTAAATCACACTGTAGTGTGAGTATATAAACATTACTAGCACTTTCCCTTACTAAATCTTAATAAACTATGTCAAAGCGGAATATCCCGTATCGGTTATAACCATTGGTTCCTTTATATATATTTATTTAAGTGTTTATATTGCAAACACTTTTCACATCGATTTACATAATTAGTAGGATGTTAAATTATGTATATATAGTCTTTAACTCGAGCCAAAAGAAACTTTTACATATTTGTATTATTTATCATTCGTTTAAACGCGCGTGACCATTAGTTGGCAACAATAGGTAGTAGATAGTAATGATAGTCGTTTAATATTACATGTTTTGTCTCACGGCGGTCCTAGTGCAACATAATCAGAATCATTAACAAACTACAGGGATCAAAATACAACTTACAATCTCAGCCGCGTAAGCGGTTTATGACACCTATGTTTTAATTTCTATGTACGTTCATGGAAACGTTTTTTCGATTACGTTGTATAATGGTACCTAGTTTTAACCATGCATTAAAATTATATTATAAATAAAATGAATTTAACTTTCCCAATAGTTTGTACCTCTAAATATAGATTATTACATTCAATTTTAAATTCATTTTGTAAAAGTATTATACTTTTACATAGAGTACATTAACTAAAAATTATTAATTAAGTTATTTATAATTTCGAAAACTCGTTTTTTTATGACATGAAATTTATATAAAAAAAGAAATCACTACTAGGTACACAGGTCAAGTTTGTTTTACGAAATATTTATTAACATTGAAAAAGGCAATTTTATTTCAAGCAGATACCTAACAATTTAGGTTCCGTTGTCTTTCATAAAGAAAAAACGTGAAAAGAATACTATTACATTAATAAATTTATAATAATAGTGTATCGAGTATCGATAGACTCTGGACTTTATTTTATAAGAAAAATATAAACCAAATATAGTTTAAAATGTACAAATTTTACATGAAAACCATATAACAAAAAAATTCAACCAGATTTATTATAAATATGAATTAATGTGTTTAAATATGAAAAAAAATCTCGTAAATTCTTATAAAATGTGGTAAAACAATAAGGTGAAAATGTGTTTATTATATTTGATTAATAGTTTTATTTATTTGCATCAATCCCTATAGTCATCACATGAGTAACTTGTTAGTGACATTTTGGGTAGCATTAATCTATACATATAATAAAACAGTAACGAAAGAAAAACTGTACATTGAGTATTTTCGAGAAAAAATAAGTGGCTTTTGTTAGAAAAACGTAACTGATGACAAAAAGTGACTTTTTAGAATTTTTGTCTGTTTGTCTGTGTGTATGGTACGGCTTCACGCCAAAACTACTGGATTGATTGAATTGAAATTCAGCAAAAATGTTCTTTGTAAACCAAGGAAGGCTTTAGGCTACATATTATCACGCCGTATGTTATAGGAGGTAAGCAGTATTGATTTTAAAAGGTTTTTCTTCGTAATTGAATGCATAAAATAATTGAATGCACAAAAAAAGGACATGTTGTTAGTTATTATTAAAATAAAAATAAAAATTTAAATCTGGGAACATAATAATCACGCTATTTTTATAAAGGAGCGGGGCAGTCATATTATAAATTGCAAGGGAACAGCTGTTTAACAATATGTCGACGGGGAATTTAGCGGTAAGGTCAGGCGACCGTTTACCGCATTAAATGATGCGAGTTTAAATCACATAATATTGTTTTGAAAAATCGTAATTTTTGTTTAATTTTTGCACATTTTATGTGCATTAGAAAATCTAAGAACTTCATATGTCCTATCTAATTGTATGGGGAGTTTCACACCAATATTACTAAACAGATTGATTGGTGGTACAACAAGTTACACTATCATGAAGTCAAGTCAAACTTTTGTTTCTAAGTTATATCTTACCAAGCACATTTGTTGCAGGTAATTGATTTAAGTATGTAATTCTTGGTTTTGTTCCTTGCTGCTGTTACCATATTTTTTTAATGCAAAAATAATGTACTTGTCTATTAAATTGACGACAATTTAGATTTAATTCATAATTTGATTAATTCATTTGGGTAAATAATATGTAGTTTCCGTTTACTAACTAGATGGCGTTGGCGTCGAGTTAGATCGCGCTATGGTTTCGTTCCCAAAAAGTGATGATATAGGTGCCGATGGGCCGCTCTCGTCATCCTATAGAAACGGGGGTTACCTTTGTTGTCTGTGTTGGTTGATGTGTTTAATTTTCCTGCGAATAATTATTATTTTTCTACTTACTAGCAATTCTTACGTACTTATTCGATTACTTTTCATTGTTTTGAATATCGTTAGTATCGGCTTAAGAAGGAATTTTAGCTTGCCTTTTAAAAAGTAAATTTCTCGAATCAAGGGTTTCTAAGATGCGCAGGTTAGTTAGTAGTAGCAGTAGTTTCTCTCGAACCCACGCAGAGCGTGAACAACGGCTAGGTGCTAGCCGTGAGCGTAATGCACTAAGTTTGTCCGCAGAAACTAGCACGCAGCGCCAATTACGACTAGAATTTAAACGAGTCCGCACTACTGCTTCTAGATCTCAGGAATGTGTGGAACAATGAGAAATGCTTTTAGCTATCGACCGGGATCGTCATTCTTTGTCTCGCGCATCCGAAACGGTTACAAAGAGGGATCAGAGGTTGAGTTTTCAGAATATCCGCTCTGAGACTGCTCGATCACTTGAGAGCAGTCAGGAGCTTGCGCTTGACCGAGAGAGAACATGGGTAAAGCCAAGGGTACAGCCATAGTTTATAAAGAATTTTTTAAAGTGATTTGCAATATTATTGTTCATTCAGTGTACCCTTGGGATCCGGTGCATTCCGCACCGGATCGGTGAAATATACGGGATGAAAATTTTTTTGTTGTATAGGTGTTAAGTCTAGGTAACATATAGACTAAAATTTATTTTGGAAAATGGAACACCTGATACAGAACCGCAACAGATCAGCTAAAGTATAAGAAATATAAAAATGGTATCATAGCAAAAAATATTCCACGTGAAGAGTTTTTTCTGCTGTGAGAATAAATTTGAAGATCTGGAACTCCAAAGCCCAGTGACATTATAACATATTTAGGAATGACGTCTTAGCGAAAGTTGTTTAGTCTGATGGGCATTTCGTGTTGACTTAAAAAAATGAAAGATCTGGAACGTCTCGAATCGTCTCGCGCATCACGTTGTTTTCCCGTCCCCGCGCTCTTAGAATTCAACATCAGACGTTTCAGATCTTCGATTTTGATGACCCTGTTGTCGCTGACATAAGCAACATCATCCGCGTACGAAGTCGCGGGCAGCTAGTAGTTCTAATAAATGCAAAATAACTACACACTTTTTGATTTGCTCGGGGATCCCCTTATTATCCTGTATTTTTGTCGATTAATAGGCCTTTTTTCCATAATTCTTATACGTACTTTCTTTTCTTCTTCTTAATATTTTTGACCTCTATTTCTCTCTATTCAATTATATATATATTTATTTATTAGATACCGGGAATCGGAGTATTAATTCATTTCATTTATATTTTATTTCGTGATATTTATAACGCGGGTACTTTATAAATATTGGCCCCCATTTATTTGGGTATTATATTACATTTTCGTAACATTCATTTAATTTTATTGGTACATAAATTTTTTATCGTAATTATATCAAGGTAAAAGTGTATTGTAGTGTCCTTGGGTTGTGCGCACAACCTCGAGGTCTACGTTTAAGTCATTTTAAAAGGACTCCAACAATTGTCACGGAGGAAAACTAAGTTCACACTGTGATCCAATGAAGGATATAACCTCTATGTACCATTATTAAGGGTAACAAATTTAAGACTTCTCTGGTCCCTAACAGTACTAATACGAGTAAACTCGTGTACATTACTTGTACTGAAGGTACTGTTCCCTAGTACCCGTTACGCCCGATTTTATCATCCAATAACGGAAACATACCTGCTCGAGGACTCTATGTTATACCAGTGATGGACGTTCCCGTATCTCTCCATTACTAATTTATTAAAGTCAATTATTTTCTTTTATATTCATTCCTTTCATGCATAATTCTCACTCCTAACGGATTCAATACTACTAGTTTAAGCATCATCAAATATTTGGATGATCACTCCAATATTGACGAAACTTAGCTACTCAATCATTCGTATTCCCATTTTTAAACATTTCTTTCATTCATTCCTGACACATTTTAAATAAATCCTTGCTATTTTTGTACAAAATGGACATTATTTTTTCAGTCAAAGTTTAACTCAATTAAAAAAAACATTACTATTAAATCTCTCTTAGGCCGGCGACGTACATACTTTATAATAGAATAGCATTTTTCTAGTCAGTTTCCTTTTAATTTTTATTATGATGTGTACCCCGTTTAAGAATATGTTGCTGTTATGTAACTAACTAACGATAACGACGTTCTTAGTGATAAATGTTTTTTTTTTAATATTGCTTAATAAGGAGTTAATAAATTTGCATAAACACGTTTCTGTGTTTATGCAAATTTATTAACTCCTTTATTAATGATAATTGGTTGTAACATTTGCAATTTATAATATATGATTGACACATTAATTATTATAACAAGTATATGACATTGAGCTATAATAATATTCTTACGTTGTTATTTCCTCTGACGCTGTTACATAATGAATTAGAAAGTTACCATATCAATTAAAAAATATTGAATAATTTATATGTTGCCAAAATTTCGATAAATATTGTTATAGTTACTTGTGTGTATACACATTACTATGGTAGAGTATGTAGAACTAAATTATACTTAAACACCATTGCACGACCATATTGTTGCAAAACAAATATTATTATTGTCATTATTAAGTAGTTATTTACCGATTAATTATTGCGGTATAATAAATAATTTTGAATTTTTCTATTAATAGTATCTACTAATGTTTTTCGTATCTTTTTAATAAATGATTTAAAAATTTTCTTTCCCCAGTTCTGTGTTAACATTATATAAGTAATAATATAATTTGACAATAGACATCGACACTATTATATAATTAAACTTACATTCGGTGCTTTCGAGATGTCTGCTAGTGTTGCGAGAACTTGGCTAGTCGCTCATTGTATCCCTGATTTCTTTCTGCTGCTCTGGCACTCGAACATTTTGTTAGCTCCCAGATGTGGTTGGGCCTGGACTTCCTCGTAAGCTTCTTTTTTCTTAACTTCTTTACTCTTCTCTTGAAGGAATTTTGATTAAGAAGTTTTCTGTTCTTGGAATCTTCTTTCTTGGAACTTCTCAATCTTGATTTTGCTGTTAAAACAATGTTACTGGAGCTTGTTGTATAATTTGTTTTTCAGGTATTTACTTCATTTTTTCTATAACATTTTTTCTTTAAGTATATTATCGACTTCGATTTCTCAAAAAAAAAAAAATGTAGTCTCTTCTTATATTCGTATTTAAAAAATTATTTGTCACGTCCGGTATTATGTTCATTTTATTATTATATTATTTTCATCTGTTTATTTTAATTAACTTACTTTCTTCAATAAATTACTTTATTTCTTATGCAGGTCCCGGCGGTGCGCTTGCATTGTAGCAGCGCACCGCCTGGCAGGGTCGCCATGTAATGTTGGGAGGTTCGGGGAATAATGATACGTCTTCTAGTGGTCTTGAATGTAGATTTATTACTCCGTGAATGTCTATTAGGCTATCATATATATAGCTACATGAGCACACACTACACACACTGCAGGATAAAATGAGATCTTCTTCCAAAGTATGTAATACACCGACCACAGATTGGTAATGTAATCTTATCTTCGAATAATTTATCTACAGAACTATTACAATTCATCTATATTGTCAGCACTGTTTGTTAAAAAAATCGATGCTGGCAGAGAAGCTTGGCGCCCTTTCATACATTTACTTTTACTAATGAAGGCCCCCCTCAATGTAGTGATTATACATACTCTTTGATGGTAGACAGATCAACACGCGTGTCATTGACACCCCCCCCCCTATATTATTATGATAATGATGTGTGTATACGTTGTTGAACAGCGGCGAGTACGAGCGGGAGCAGAGCCGGGCTGGACGGCATGCGCCGGGCTGCTGTTGCTGCTGCGGGACGCGCTCGCAGCGCTGCCCGACCCGCTGCTCGCTGAGGTACGCGAGGAGCTTGCTCGCACTCGGCACACTGAGAGCACCTTACTACCTTGCTAGCACTCAGTAGTTTTAGTCAGTTCAGTCAGTCACATTTGCTTCTGCTTGGAATTACAGTCTACTTCGCTCCCTTGGCTAATATTTTTTGGAATTTTTTATAGATTTTATTGTTGGTTTAATTATTGCTTTTAAAAATTATACGACTAGGAATGAATAAAGTGGATCCTGTCATATGACCGTAGGCGTTACGCGGAGCGCTGCAGGCGGAAAACCTGGTGGTGCTGGCCAACCATCGCAGCGCCAGCGTGCGCAGCGCAGTCGTGCGCTGCGTGTGCGTGCTGCAGCGTCGCGCGCCGCACGCTCTGCTCGCCACGCCCGCCGCCGGGCACTACTACCTGCATCTCGCCGACCAGGTGCACGCACAACACACACACACACGCGCGCACACACACACACACGCGCGCACACACACACACACACACACACACATACACACACACACACACATACACAAACACACACACACACACACACACACATACACACACGCACGCACGCACGTACACAGCATATACACACAGCACACGTGCCGCCATGCCCGCCACCGGGCATTAATACCTTCACCTCGCTGACCAGGTGTACGCACACATACACACACATACACGCACACGCACAGAGTTTTTGTGTGTAAATTTATCTTAGTGGTGATCCCATTTCATTTTGAAAACAAAATTCCGCCCCCACAGATGGCAAATAGGGGAAAAGGTTTCATATAGGACTATTGTTTAAGGAATATCATACCATATCTTCACAAATAAAGAACCTATTGTAATGTTTTTTTTACTTAAATAATTTGTACTTCAAGGCTGATCCGAAATTTTTTTTTTTTTTAGCATTGATTTTGTTTTTTTTTTCTATTTTTGTACTCATACCCAAATTGAAGAATATTACATTAAAGGTTTTAATCAATTTTCAGATTTCTCTATACCCTGGTTCTTGGGAGCTGGCTACGGCATGTGCTGCACTGCTCACTAAATGCGACGTTTCATTAGAAGATCAACTGGACGTGAGTGCCAAAATGTACTCTGTTCAAATTTGCTTATAAAGAAATTATTATTATATTATGTACATATACTGTATGGTAGTTTCGTACACCAGTAAGCTGACCATGCGATTCGACTAAGCTTTTTTCTTTTGTTCCTAACCATCTAGGTGTTTATAGATGATCAATCACTTTGATATCATGTTTCATGTTTATCCATTCTACTTGGATTTCTTCGGGTTGTTCGTCATCCCACCGAAGTTTCAGCTGCAATACTTTTTGGAAGAGAAGTTTTAGTTTCAGTGTTATAGGAGCAGTCAAGCCAATTTAATCGAACTGTTTCGAAAGAAGACAATCATTTTTGGGCCCAACAGAAATTTTAACGACCCTCAATAGTAACAAAAAAAAAGATACCAATTTATTATTATAAATAGGTATTCGCTGAAGGTCATACAGGTTCTTTACGCACCAACCTCGGCACATCCCGATGAGGAGGTGAAGGAAATGTATGAGGATATTTCCAAAGCCATGCATTCCTCCAAAACCCACTACACGGTGTTGATGGGAGACTTCGACGCAAAACTAGGCACAAGAGAAAGCGGTGAGCTGAAGTTAGGGAAGTTTGTAGTAGGGCAACGGAACCGAAGGGGCCAGCAGCTGGCCGACTTTATGGAGAAAGAGAGACTCTTTATGATGAACTCTTTCTTCCAGAAGCGGCCCCACAGGAAGTGAACCTGGTCGAGCCCCGACGGTTCGACAAAAAATGAGATTGACTTCATTATGACGACCAGACGCCAACTGTTAAGTGATGTCTCAGTGATCGCAAGGGTGAAAACTGGCAGCGATCACCGAATGGTTAGAGGCACACTGAACCTAAACGTTAAGTTGGAGAGCTCTCGTCTAATGACATCAACGCTCCGTCCCCCTCGTGCTCTAATCCAGAATCCCGAAAACTTTCAGCTCGAGTTACATAACCGCTTTCAGTGCCTACAAGATTGTAATGCAGTGGACGATACGAATGACAAGCTCGTGGAAACTGTCCATGCGGTCGGAACTAAGTTCTGCAAAACCCGCCGCAGAAGAACACAAAAACTCTCCGAGTACACTCTTAATCTCATGGCTGTTAGACGGGAGATGGGGCTGCAATCGTCAACAAATTTGACAGCATACAGGCAACTGAACAGACAGATCTCTAAATGCATGCGGCAAGACTTACGCAACTTTAATACTGCTCGTATTAAAGAAGCGATCGAGCGGAACCAGGGCTCCAAAGTCTTTGCCAGAGATCTGTCTGCCAGTAAGAGCCAACTGTCAAAGCTGAAGACTGAGTGTGGCAGCGTCGTTTCCGGTTTGACGCCTGAGATTTTGAGTGAGATTGAGAGTTTCTATAGGGAGCCACACGCAAGTGTGTGTAACGATCCAAGAGCAAGTCTTATCCGACACTATTCCGATGATATCCCGGACGTCAGTCCAAGCGAGATTAGAATGGCTCTCCAGCACCTTAAAAACGGCAGGGCCACAGGCGAGGATGGAATTACAGCGGAGCTTCTGAAAGCGGGTGGAACACCGGTACTTATACTCTTAAAATATGCTCAACGTTATCAGTTGGTAGCTGGAATATGTTTTTGTAGTACACTATGGATGGTTTATCTTCATTAGGCATTAACATAGATTTTGTAATGTATATAACATTTTCATGATCTTGAACAGTAAACGTCGTACATGGATATTGAAACTCGACAACTCCAACCGACCATTCACCTTCTAATTTAATAGCTTTTGGTAATTTCGTTGAAAAATTTGTGGTCTTGTTATCAAGAAAGTATTCCATTGAACTATTGCTGAGCAAAGTTAAATAAAAACTTTCTTTATTCATATTTCTTTTAAACTAGAAGCTAAAATCCAACTGTTAAATTTATCTGGATAACCTTTCCACTTCACTAATACTTCTTTTCTGATACCTGAATAACGAGTGTCAATTATTTTATCTATTTTATATTGTGAGGTGGGGTTGTAAGTGATTTTCTGTAATTCTCTTTCATAAAAAGTACCAACTATTGGTTCATTTTGTAAATCTGTTATTGTATAAACAACCCATGGAGATCTATCAATTATTGAAGATATAATAAATATTTCATCACTCCAATTTGATTCATATCCTTTTTGGAAAACATGTTTATACTTAGTTATTCGAACTTAATCACCCACATTGAAATTTGGTTTAGGTATTTCTAAAGAAAGTTTGTTTGACCGTCTATCATAATGATTAGTCCAAACTGTCATAATATTGTTGGAATTTACATCACATGGGCACATCTTAATACTAGATTGAAAGCTGTGATTATAAGAGAATATTAAATCTTGTAAAACATCTATATATCTATAAGTATTATTATGTAATGATTTCTTATATTTACGCGAACACTACACATTGAAATAATACTAATTTTTACGGAATTTATCGCGTATATTTAACTTTTTTTACCCGACGTTTCGAGAGCTTTACAGCACCCATGGTCACGGGAAGGACTGAGATGTTCAACGTCCAGCTGTCATAGTTAACCGCGGTTACCATAGATTAAAATTTAACTTTTGTTCCGATCTACACAGTATGAACTTATGGTATCATGGAGTCTTGCAGTTGTATGCTTGGGTTGGGATTTAATTTTATTTATTATAGGATCCCAAGCAGATGGTAGCACCAAGCCATCTTCTCTATTGAAATTAGGATGTTTTTTGATTTCAATAGCCTCGCGAATCATCCTTGGAAGGAATCGGTGTTCTTTAGCGAGGATTTGTGGTCTATCAAATCTGATGTAGTGACGGGGGGCGATCCTGTACATGTTCACAGACTTCGGGAAGTCTGCAGTCTGTGTGAATATAAAGGTTTAATAATAGGCCGTTTGTAATATTTTGGCGTGATCGTCTTAGTTAGGACCCTCATTTACGTTGTGTTTGTTTAGTAACTTAGTTCTTTTAGGTGTCTTTTGGAAGAATGAATATTCGCTAGAGCAATTGAAAGCTGTTGGTAGTGCCTTATAAGCTAAGTGAACCCCGTTCGCGAAGACAGGGCTCGAGAAAGGTTAAAAACATAAAACGTCCAAATTCCACTTGTATCAGGTTTACATTATTAACTTAATATTATTTATCCCTTCCCGCTCGGAAAAGGCTCAAAATATATTTATACAAAATACCCAATACAAGGGCTTCGCTCTCCTACATTTATTTTTAAAGAAATGTAGGGGAGGTACACGGCCCCACACACGCCGTGCACGGTGAGTGCCAACCATTTTGATGCACTCCCCCCGCAGGGAACGCTAATTCGGGAACTGGACCATAGTCCACAGCAAAATAACTGGCGAACCAGTAAAAGAGGCTTGGCCCTTTGCTAGTGCGTAAGCACAAACATCGACCGAAGTCGCGCATGTCAATGCGTGTAAACGCCAAACAGAATACGAACGAATCCAGCCACAGTGAATGTACGTCACACGGTTTAGGCAAATAGGCACACTGGCCGTAAACCCTCCGTGAGCGCCACCACCTGCCAGACCGCCGCTCCTGCAGACGTGATGTAAGTGTATGGCATCACCACCAGTTGCATGATCAGCACGGCTACTAGCCGCAGAGCGTGTCATGAGTCTACCGCTCACCTCAAGGGAATGGGGTCCCACGTTGTGCGGCTTTCGGCCGCAGCCTTGAGAGTCTCCTCAGATCCTCTCGCCAGCTACCACCCGATGAGGTCGACACATATGCTCCACCAACCAATACAACGGCAGATATAGCCAAAAGGCAGTTATAAGATAAGAGTAATAATTCGCCATCAGAAAGGGTTTGTGTCACTGACGTTGAGTAAATGCATTTTCGATCATGTTTGTCTCACCCACCAACAAGTTGCCTTCAATCATTCAAAGGTGGTAAAGTTACAGAGATATAATATTATGTTGTTATATAAAACATCGTGGAGGGCAGACAGTCTGCAGCCCCGCAATGAAGGGACCCGACTTGGGCAAAGCTACTTAGGTGTGAGTCAAACCAAGACGCAGAGAGCTCCATTGAGAATAGCGTCCCACCAAACAACCATCGCAGAGACGCAATGCTGCAGAACGCAGCAAGCATCAATTCGACTATCGTCGGGCTTACACCATCCCAAGGCCCCCCATACATCCCAGCAGACATCACCACCCGCATACCTCCATCGACCAGAACCACAAGAGAGCGTCGAATCAGGCGCAGCACACCCGCAGATCCATCACAAGACGCAATACCGCAAGTAGCAGTAAGCATCAATGCAACTATCATACGGATGGCGCCCCCTCACAACACACCCACATGATCCCTATCGACTTTGGTAACAAAGTTGGCATTGTTGTTGTATAAAAAATATCACCAACGTATCATAGTAGCACGCTACTAAGACGCCAATGAACAAAACTCCACGTATCATAGCGCTAATGCACTAAGACATGAAGTTGAGTATGCCTGCTACACTTAAAAGTGCTACCAAACACACTCATCATCCCAATCCGAAAGATAGACGACACATCGCTATGCGCTACGACGTCGCCCACAAACGGTATGGGTGTGCGATGTCCACGGGAAAGCCGTATTGCTACAACAAACCCGCTTACCACCGGCACTAAGATGATATGTCTAGGACACATCGGTTAGCGAGTCCAAGTTTACCTCGGACCAATTGCTCGTGAAGCAGCACACACGCCACCACAATATTCCTTTTCAAGTCCCTAATAAGGACTAGTCATTTTGCAACAGTACTAGGAGCAGTCGGTCACCCGATCACCCCACACAATGCTTATGCATCAAGGAGACCTCCTATAATATTGTTTTTGTATCAAAGACCTTACTTTCATAAGTCATGCATATATAGGATTCGAACCCACGACCCTACTATTGTAATGCATATTAATCATAGAGACCTTCTATAGTATTGCTTTTGTATCATAGACCTTACTTTCATAAGTCATTAATATATAGGGTTCGAACCCACGACCCTACTATTGTAATGC